GCTGGCGTTTGGCTGGCGTGCGGGCGTCATGGCTGGCGCCTAAAACGAAGCGCGGCCCGCTGGCACCCGTGCGCTGGCGCGGCGACGCCGCCACGGCAGCATGATGACGCCGCCACAGCGTGGCGTCGAAGCCACGGAATTGTGTCGAGGCTGCCACGGCAGCGCGACGAAGCCACCATGGCAGCACGACATGGTTGCCACGGCGGTGCGGGCGTGACAGGAGGGAGGAGAGGACGCTGCGGAAGCGTGAGGAGAAGGCCCGAGCGGAAGGGCCTGCTCTGATACCATGTCGAGAAGCTAGGTTAGGAGCTGGGCATAGGAAAGTAGCGAGAGGTTTTAGACTAGGAGAAAATGTCGAGAGAGAAGAGGATGAGATTAGAAAAGAGAGGGATACAAGGAGGGAGTTGTACCCTCTAGAGTAGGATTCAGCAAGATAACATACCTACCAAGCCTAAAAAAATAATTATATAAGTATATAATTTTGTCAAACATGTGTAGTTATCATGTTTGTATAGACTGTATAGGGTCACCTTCTAGAGAGTACAACATTTAGGTATATGTTTGTGTACTCTCTCTCTCTTATTATTCAATTCTAGGTTTGATATGGTATCAGAGCAGTGTTCCTGCTGCAGTTACTCTTGCTGACCCCTCCGGTGGTCCCGTCTTTGCCCGCAGTTCCACCTCCCTTCCCTGTCCGGCGGTTCCTTCAGGTTCGCTCACCGGTCTGCATATCCCCTCGTTCTCCAGGAACCTAGTTGGTGTCGGCTGCCTCCAGGACCTTGGCGTCACCACTACGTTCCCTGGTCACGAGCGGTATGCTGTCTGTACCGAGGCCGCCACTGGTGCCCCCCTTACCACTTTCCCCCGGGACCCGGTGTCCGGCCTGTTCACACTTGACACCGCGACGTCCCCGGCTGGGTCTTCCCCCCAGGTAGCTGCGTCCACCCAGGTTGCTGCTGCGTGCTCCTGTCGGTCCCTCACTCATCCGACTCTCCTTTGGCACCACCGCCTTGGTCACCCTGCACTCCCGCGTTTGCGTCACATGTCACAGCACGGTCTCGTCCTTGGTCTCCCCGGTTCGTTCCCTGAGTTTCCCTCATCCCCCGCCCCACCGTGCACGCCTTGTGTCGAGGGCCGGCTCCGCCGTGCTCCTCACTCCTCCTCTTTTCCCCCTACCACCGCACCCCTGCAGACTCTGCACATGGACGTCTGGGGCCCAGCCCCGGTCCATGGGCCGCGTCGCGAGCGCTTCTTCCTAGTGCTTGTCGACGACTTCACACGTTACACCACCGTCTTTCCCCTGGAGCGGAAGGCCGACGTGCCTGACGTTCTCATCCCCTGGCTTGTCTCTGCTCGTCTCCACCGCGGTCTCCCTGCCTTGCGCCTCCACTCCGACCGGGGTGGCGAGTTCGCCTCAGGTGTCCTTGGTCGCTTCTGTCGTGCGGAGGGCATCACCCAGACGTTTACCCTGCCGGACTCCCCGCAGCAGAATGGGGTCGCTGAGCGACGCATCGGTTTGGTCATGGAGGTGGCTCGCACCTCCATGATCCACGCCGGTGCACCCCATTTTCTGTGGCCGTTCGCCGTGCGCTACGCCGCTCACCAGCTTAACCTGTGGCCGCACCCCCAGCGGCCGCAGGTTTCGCCGACCCTTCTGTGGACCGGGTCCCCTGGTGACGCGTCTGCGTTCCACGTCTGGGGCTGCCTTGCTCACGTTCGTGCCTCTGGCACGGACAAGCTCACTGCCCGCACCCTCCCCTGCGTCTTCCTTGGTTTCCCCCTTGACGCGTCCGACTGGCACTTCTACCACCCGCCGTCTCACCGTTTCTTTCACTCTCGCGACGTCACCTTTGACGAGTCCGTCTCCTTCTACCGCCGCTTTCCCCACCGTGGTCCCCCGGTTACTCCCCCCCTGTTCCTGGTTCCTCCCTCCCTGGTGGCCCCTGCCCCTCCCCCCCCCGCCCCCCCGTCCGGCCCCCTCTGGTGTGTCTCACGTCACCCCCCTCCCGTCGGTCGTTCCGGTCGACGAGTCTTCTGACTCTGGTAGTCCTTTGGCGCAGTCCTCGCCGTCTGTCCCTCCCCCGGTGTCTCCTCCTCCACCGCCTCCGCAGCCGCCGTCGCCGCAGCTGCTGCAGCCGTCGTCTCCGCCGCCGCCGCCGTCGATGCCGTCGCTGCAGCCGCCGCCGCCGCCGCCGCCGTCGTCGCTGCCGCTGTTTGTGGACTCTGGAGGTGCTGGCGTTGAGGTGGGTACTAGTCCCGGGGCTCCTGTCGGGGCTTGTCCCGGCGGGCCTGGGGGTGGTACCGGTGCTGGCGGTGTTTCGGGCTCTGGGGGTGTCCCTTCTGGGGGTGCCGGTGTGGAGGGTTCGGGAGGTAGCCGTCGCGCAGCTTGTGGCCCTGGCGTTGGTGTTGTGTCGCCGCAGCAGCAGTCCCCGCCGGTGTCCGCCCTCCGTCTGCTCGGCCTTCCGTCCCCTGACCCTGCGCCTGTTCCTCTCCGGCCGTCTCCCCCTCTTCCCGTCTACGGCCCCGTGTTCCCTCCGCCGGACTCGTCCCCGGCTCGTTTTCCCCCTCGTTCCCCACCCGTGTCCCCTCCTCTGTCTCCTGACCCGACGCCGCCCTCTCACGTCTGGTCTCGCCGCCCCTCCCGTGCTCGTCCTGTCTCCCCCGTCCCGCGCACTCACCCTATGTTGCTCCGGTCCCACGCGTCTCGTCCTCCCCTCCTCCCGTCTCCTCCTCCATCCTCTCTTGTCGTTGCGTCTCCTCCTCTGTCTGACTACTTTCGTGCCGCTCGTCCTCTTGTTCCTCGGGTCCTTGCCTCTCTCGTTACCGACCCGTCTGTTCCAGTGTCGAGTCTTGACGCCCTTGTCGCTGCGGTCGCTGACTTCGCCTCTACCCGCCGCCTTGACTACGCCTCCGCTCTGGTCTCTGACCCTGCCTGTCCTCCGTCTGTCGGGGGTGCTCCTGCCCTCGGCAGTGACGTCCTGGAGGACCGCCAGTTTGAGCTTGCTTTCCTGTCCGAGGCTGCTCCCCATCTCTGTTCCATGCTGCTAGTCCCTGAGGGTGACCCAGACGCTTTTGACATCCGGACCCCTCGTACTTACGCTGAGGCGGTTTCGGGACCTTGGGCCTCTCAGTGGATAGCTGCCATGGAGCAGGAGATGGCATCTTGGAGATCCACCGGCACCTTCGTCGACGCAGTTCCCCCACCTGGGGTGAACGTGGTCGATGGCCGTTGGCTCTTCAAGGTGAAGCGCCCTCCTGGAGAGCCGCCTGTGTTCAAGGCGCGTTACGTGGCTAGAGGCTTCAGTCAGCGCGAGGGGGTGGACTTCTTTCAGACTTTCGCTCCTACCCCGAAGATGACTACTCTTCGGGTTCTACTACACGTAGCGGCCCAGCGTGACTACGAGCTTCACTCCCTCGACTTCTCCACTGCCTTTCTTCAGGGCAGCCTTCACGAGCAGGTCTACCTGCGTCGTCCTCAGGGCTTTACTGGCACCTTCCCCCCTGGGACCCAGTGGCTTCTGCGGCGCCCAGTCTACGGCCTGCGCCAGGCGCCTCGTGAGTGGCACGACACGCTGCGTGCTACTCTTGCTGACCTGCAGTTCTTTCCGTCCTCTGCAGACCCCTCGCTCTTCGTTCGTGCTGGCTCGACTCCGTTCTACATCCTCGTCTACGTAGATGACCTGGTCTTTGCCACAGCTGACAGGGACGCACTGGCCTCCGTGAAGGCAGAGCTGCTGAAGAGACACACCTGCACTGACCTTGGAGAGCTGCGCCGTTACCTTGGCTTGCAGATCTCCAGGGACAGAGCCGCGCGCACCATCACCCTGACTCAGTCACACTTGGTGCGCCAGGTCCTTCAGAGGTTCGGCCTTCAGTTCTCCTCCGCACAGCCCACCCCTCTTCCTCTGGACCACAGACTCTCCGCTCCAGTTCCTGAGGAGTCGGTAGATCCCAGTGGTCCTTACGCTGAGCTAGTGGGTTGCCTCATGTACCTGATGACTTGCACTCGCCCAGATCTCGCATACCCTCTCAGCATCCTGGCTCGTTTTGTGGCCACAGGCAGACACCGACCTCAGCACTGGTCTGCCGCTAAGAGGGTTTTGCGTTATCTTGCAAGTACATCGGGCATGGGGTTAGTGCTAGGCGGACGCAGGCCAGTGGTCCTTACTGGACACACAGACGCTTCTTGGGCAGACGACGCCGAGACGCTCAGGTCTTCCCAGGGCTACTGCTTTAGCCTTGGCTCAGGTGCTGTCTCGTGGAGAGCTACCCGCTCCTCGTCGGTTGCCCAGTCCAGCTGTGAGGCTGAGATATACGCCGGTGCCATGGCGGCACAGGAGCTCCGCTGGCTGACCTTCTTGCTCACTGACTTAGGTGAGCGGCCTAGCTCTGCCCCGGTCCTGTACGCTGACAACAGGGCCATGATTCTCCTGTGTCAGGAGCCTCGACTCGAGGGCAGAGCGAAGCACATCCAGCTGCGGTACTTCCTCCTGCGCGAGCTACAGCAGCGTCGCCAGGCTCGCGTAGTACACTTGGCCTCCGGTGCCAACACAGCTGATATCTTTACGAAGGCGCTTGCGCCTAAAGATCATCAGCGGCACTGTTTACAGCTTGGTCTGGTTCCTGTAGTCTCTCACTTACTCGGGCTTTGACTTTGTACTGTCGTATATATATATATGTATACACTCAGACTGGACTTGTGTCCTCTCACAGTGGTTGGACTAGTAGTGCCGCCCTGTACTCGTTCTTGCCTTGTCTGTACTCCTTCTGACTGGTCTTTTAGACCCTTGTCTCAGAGGCTGGACTAGTAGTGCCACCCTGAGCTGCTTGTCTAGAACATTCCCCTATGCAGTCCAGGGGGTGTGTCAAACATGTGTAGTTATCATGTTTGTATAGACTGTATAGGGTCACCTTCTAGAGAGTACAACATTTAGGTATATGTTTGTGTACTCTCTCTCTCTTATTATTCAATTCTAGGTTTGATAAATTTGACAGGAAATTAGAAGTCATCACATTGATTATGTTAAGAGCCATGATTAAGCTTATTCAAATTGTACATACTAAATATGTAGTAGCTTCAACTCCAACCTTTGTTGTTGCACAACTAGGGTCAGGGTGCACACCATATGACAGTGACCCTGATACAGCCAAAGGCGTGATTCTGAAGCCTCAGATCTGGCTTGGCGAGCCGAGCTGAACCGAACCACGTGATCGAGCACTTCCTCCTCTCACCACATGAGTTAGGCACGAGGTGGGTCCGACAGTCCGACAGGGGGTTAGGAAAACGCCATAAGCATCAATAGCTACCATTTAACTGTACAAAATGGTTGGGGCTTCAGCAGTAGCCGTGAAGTACCTGCCAGCACAGACAACAGGTATGTCACCATGAAGTACTATCAAGCAAAATGTTGCAGCATGTAACAATATGTAGCAATACACATGTGAAACCGATCACCACACACAGAATCAACCTATAAATACTAATGGATGCTACATCCCATCCCATCCCATCTTATGCCATGCCATGCCATACTGTACATCATGGCTCAACCTGGAAAATGGCTCATTGCACCATGCCTCAAACAGCTCGTCTGGTCAGACGCACTGTGAAGTATACTGTGCCATACCGTACCATACCATTCCATACCATACCATGCCGTGCCATGCCATGCCATGCCATGCCATACCATACCGTGCCATGCCATACCATACCATACCGTACCATGCCATCCCATCCCATGCCATGCCATGACATGCCATACCATGCCATGCCATGCACCATAGCTCACCCTGGAGAACGATCCACTGCACCATGCTTCAAATAGCTCGTCCGGCTTCAACCGGTCTCTCAAACTGACAGCCTCATTGCTCCATGGCTCCATGGCAGCAGCAAGAGGCCGGCCAGGAGCAGCAGTGGCAAACGTAGCAGCAAGCGGAACACAAGGATGTACGGAAGATGGTGGCAGCGGCGGAAGCAGAGAGGGCGTTGGGTTGCAAACGGTAGATGGCAATGCTGGTTGTGCAGTGGCAGCAGGGACGGAAAATTGCATGAGGTCTGTTGATAGTACAGTAGACGGTGCTAGTGGTGGAATCAGAGAGTGGCTAGGGTTGTGAACAGTAGATGGTGGTGCTGGTTCTGAGGCGGCAGCAGGGAGTGAAACATGCACAGGGCCTGCTGATACAGTAGAGGATGGCAGCGGTGGAAGCAGGGAGGAAGTAACTGATTGCAATGCCGGTTGTGCAGTGGCAGAAGGGAAGCAAAAATGCAGAGGGTATGCTGATTCAGTACCAGGGGGGGGTGGTGGAAGCAGGGAGGGGGTTGCTGATTGCAATGCTGGTTGTGCGGTGGCAGTAGGGGCAGGGAAGGAGACTGGCATGGGCTTCCCTTGGAGTCTTGACTGTAGTGAAGGTTCCATGGACCCCTGCTCCTGGTTAACTGTTACTGAGGGCTTCAGGGACCCCTCCTCCTGATTAACTGGTAGAGAGGAGGGAGGCATAGGAGCGAAGTGCAGTGTTGACTCTGGCTGCAGCAGAGCGGTGCTGATTTTCAGCAGCGCAGCCTCGATAAGAAACGACGCAATCGCGTTGTCAGCAGCAGCAAGCCAATCGGAATCGGAACCGCCACTTGATGCCACATCAGCATAGCACGGTTCAGGATACCAAGGGTACACCACACCAGGAAATGCAGTGTCTGCAGAACGCGAACCAGCGAAGGTGGAAAGAAGAGCATCATCATTAGCAGCAGCAGCAGCATCCCGATCCGAAAAGCTGTGACGGATGCCGGCAGGGGCCGCACAGACAGGTGGCATCGGATCCACTTCGGCTTGCAGACTTCTGACGACATTGACTCCACAAAAAACGGCTTCCTGCTGAGGTATCTGCTGATGCATCTGCTGAGGCGTCCGCTGAGTCAGTTTCCCCAACGGGGCGGCTTCAAACGGATACAGCTCCTGCATGGGCGAGTCCATCAAGGGTGAGCTTCCGATTGCCTTGCTCCCCTGCACAGGGCTCTGCTGTGATGCTGAAAGGCTCTCTTGCGACGTTGGAAGGCATGATGATACGTGCCCAGGCGAGCACAGGGGCGGAGCAGGCATGGCTGCTGGGCTGGAGTCAGTGATGAGTCCCGCCATGAATTCATCTGTCGCTTCTTCTCTTGCTGCATCTGTCGCTTCATCCTCCATTTCGGCCTGGCTCTTTACCAGTATAGGGTCTCCAATCTCAGCATCCGTTATAGCAGATTCAAGCAGCTCCTCATCAAATCTTCTGCATGAGTTCTCCTCGGCGTCTACTGCTGCTGAGCTCTGCATAATCATCATTGGGATAATTCTCTCAGCCATGTCCCTCGCTGGAGTGCACTGTTGAGGGCTCAATGTCTCTTGAGCCGACTCAAAATAGCTCTGAGGCATCGACATCATCATTGTGACCATGCTCTCAGCCATGTCCATCGCAGCTGGAGTGCATAGCTGATGGCTAGACGTGCGCTGCTGACTCTGTTTGTACTGCTGCTGACACTGCACGTGCGGTTGCTGACACAACATGTGCGGCTGACTCGAGTGGTGCTGCTGCTCTTGAACGGAAGAGGCGCTAGGAGAACCATGAGCTCTTGCTCCAGATGACTGCTGCATTGTTGTCGCCATCCCCATCGCCGTCTCCATTGCCGTCTCCATTGCCGTTGCCATCGGCATCACAGCCTGTGCAGCCTCGTCCATGCCTCGTGTGAGCTGGTGCAGCTTCGACAGCTTCCTGCACGCATTGACACAGACATGGAGGATCATTCACTGGGGTGCCTTTATCTTCGTCGCCTTCGTCGCGAGCGCACTTTCCTGACTCGTACATATCTCGTGTGATCTGGTGCAGCTTCGACAGCTTCCTGCATGCATTACCGAGAGATAGTAGCATGAGAGTGAGATAGGGCGCCCTTTGACCAGGTGATACTGTTGCCTACCATCGAGATTAACTCCAGCGTGGTACTGCATTGCCACGCGGAATGAAGACTCAATGCATTCCTGGCAGGAATTGACATAAGCGCATATGACAACCCAGAATACCTCAAGAATTGACATTACTGTACAATGGAAACCCAAATACCTTTTAAGTACAATGAAGCGATTACAACACGCCTTGTGATTTCGTGTGGGCAGAAGACCCATGGATTTGATCAGTCTCCACTTGTTTGAGCCATACCGTGCCACGTGGGCCAATAAAACCTTGTCCTCCTGCACACACCGGACAATGGAAGGAGCCATGACAAACACCAGAACAACTTGCTCTGAGGTTTCAGAACTCAAATCCCAGATCAGACTTCGGAACGAACAAAAAGAAAAAGAAACCAAGAGAAAAAAAAAATGAAAACGGTTTTGACAAGTGGTAATTTATCAGAAACATATAAGGTTAACTAAGTTTACTGTACCTCCGGTTTCCAAAGTTCTCCAGTCGCACGCCCGTTCCTCCGAGGAGTCCTTTTGGAATCACTACCACCACCACCAGTCCTGAAAATCACCCCCTTCCTGGATCGCAGACTAGACGATAGAGACGTCACGCTAGACCTCATGGTTTCTGTTTTCGATCCAACAGCACGCAAGAGATAAACCGTAGCAGGTCTTTCTTCCTACACCTCCAATTCGGAATCACTACTAGTACAATGTAATCGACTTCGATGACTGAAAGGGCGAAAATCACTTCTGGAATCACGCCGGCTCGGGCTCTCGGTTTGAATCTGAAAGAAGCTCCTACAAGGCGGGCTTCTGTAGGGAGTCAATCCCCGTTATAGAGTTCTTGATGTTACTATATTTGACGTATTTAATGGGCCGGCCCATGGTCGCCTGATGTATCTGAGCTATCGCCGTGGAATGATCGACGGCGCCAAAGGAAGACCGCGACGCGTGTCGCAAATGCGGCAGAAATGTGTCTTACTAAAACAACTCGCCGCAGGAAGTATCGGCGCGATCCTTGCAAGAACATGCAAGCACCAGAAGAAGGAAATCCCTGGGATAGGACGTGAGTGGTTGAAGTCTAACCAGAGCCGCGAGCGGTGCCAGGCTTGGCTACCTGTACTGCTAGCCAAAGAAAGAATCGGTTTCGGCAGCACTTGTTTCTAGCCATTGGTTTGAGGACCATCATCCCAGAGCTCCCAATCCAACTTTCAAACCTGCGGGTTGCGCGCAAAGCACAACCTATTGAGTGACAGACACAACCTCCTCTCGTGCCGCGTGATTGAACACAAGCATTCGCACGTGGCGAGGGATTGCCGATGGAAACGGCATACCTTTGGAAGAGTGTGGTGCGGTAAGTTTCACAAGAAGCATCGACGGTCCGAGTCAGCTACGTGGGTGTGGCATAACCTCCATAACCTGTGGCAGAGGAATGCTCTCGGCTCGGACCTGTGTGGCGATTCGTCGCCCGGCGCGAGCCTAAAGCCATTTTCTCGAACTTGTGGTGGTTCTTTTGTTTTATCAGAGAGAACAAGGACGGCATAGGCGTGAACAACACTCCGGCTGACATCATAACCTGCTTTTCTGCGCCAAGCTGGCAAGAAAGCCGTTATGATAAATGACGTCATCGCGCATGTTGCTTCTCCAAAGGATGCCAGCTATTGGCAAGACCTCATTCCTTGAAGAAACCAAGCATGTTCCTGCTTCTAGCGGGGACAGCTCGTCAGGGGGGCGGGGCAGTCACCAGTTCAAGGAAATCAGAAACAGACGATACGGGCAGGGAAAGCGAAGTCGAGTTGGCAGCTCGGAAACATGCCTCTCGCTTCGGATGTGTTCCTAGTAAGTGTCATCCCGGAAAAGTGTCATCCGAGAGTGTTGGAAACCCATCGCAACCGTTGAGGTTTCGAGATAACGGTTGAGATGAGTTTCCAACATTTCTCGGATGACACTTTTTCGGGATAACACCTACTACATTCAGGCCCTCAAGGCAGTTAGACCGCGTGTCAGGTGGCTGGTACACCTAGCCCGTAGTAATTTCACACCCTGAAACTGGGCGGCAGAAAAACTTTTGTTTCCACCCTGACCATTTCTGAGTGCGTAGACAGTACCCCCTTGTTCCTACCGCCTAAGCTTGGCAGACTACACGCGAGAAAAAACTTTGAGCACTGCCTAAGCCGACGTCGGGTTTCCTGACTCGAGAAACACTAAATCGAGCAGTAAACATTTCGTATAGAAACCCAAGTTCTGGTTGTTTTTCAAGGGTATCCGCATCTGGTCTTCTGTAGCTGCTTTCGGGGAAGAATACCCTCTCTGTGCACCACCTGTGAAAATACTGGGTGTGAGAATACCGCAGGCTAGGTGTACAGGTTTGGCGAGCTGACCGGTGGGACAGGTCGACCTAATGGCCGCTGCGCTGCCAGTGACGCCAGAACCTCTGAAAGAGTCGCCAGGTGGCACTAGCGAGGTCACGCGCAAAACAAGCGACTGCCACTCTGCACGACCAGATTTGTTCACAGTTCGCTAGTCGCGAATCAACGTCGTGGGGCATGCTAATTGGATCGCTACCCCCTACAGATTTCCCTACTTCAAGTATAGACGGGCAGGTTCAAAAAAAGTTACGCGTTAGGCTAAGGAATCGCGCGAGCTTGTTTCCGTGAGCTGGACGGATTGTTGGGGGGGGGGGGGGGGTTGGGTTGGGGGGGGGGGGGGGGAATCGCACCGTAAAAAAACGGAATCACTGGAAATTTTACTCTTAGTATCTCGACATTAAGGGTATTTCTCCTGTTAGCGGGAGGCCTGCCCGGAAACTGTCAGTTGACATATGTCCCCTTCATAAGCTCACAACACGGTAGCAGTTGAACTTTAGTCCATCCGGGACGCTGTGCTGTCTCCCGGGACTAAACGTGGTGTATATACTCCTTGTTTACAAAAATCGTCAAAACAAATCGGAATGGATTGCCTTAAATAATTCAAACAAGATGCAAGAACTTATGTTTACAAAAAAAACTCAAGCCATGTTTCTTTGGAATCAGTGTGATCATGATCTCACTTCCGCATGTGCTTCGTTTCATGATGCACTATACAAAACGCCAGCCCTCCCCTATAAGCAGCATCACGGCATAGCATGTTACACTAAATCTTCTAAGGAAACATCTGCAGCACTAGGTGCGGCGCGCAAAAACGAAAATTGAACCCTGTGAACCTCTCCCGATGCGCACGCGCTCATCGAGGTAAGACACGGACAGACGCACGGAAGACTCCCCCCCATATGAGAATTTCAAGGGGCCGAGAGCCAGGTTGGGTGCTTCAAACACTGCCCGCACCCACTTGTTGTCTAACGGCTCAAACTTGCCTGGTGGAATCAAGGGGAGGGAGTGAAGACGTGGGGCAAGGAAGAGGGATCGGGCAATTTCGGGGAAGTGAGGCAGGGGCCGAGAGACAAGTCGGGCGCTTCAGAAACCGTCCGCACCCACTCGTAGTCCAAGGGCTCAGATTCTCCTGGCAGAATGAATAGGGAGGGAGTGAGGAGGTGGGGCAAGCAAAGGAGTGGGATTGGGCGCTTTGAGGGGGGTGTGGCAGGGGCTGAGAGCAAGGTTGAGCGTTTCGAACACTGCTCGCACCCACTCATTGTCCAAGGGCTCAAACTTGCCTGGAGGCATTAGTAGGATGGCGTGGGAAGGTGGGGAGAATGTGAGGGGAGTGGACACACGAGGGGGGCGATCCAGGGGCTGGGAGTAGGTTGGGTGCTTAAAACACTGCCTGCATCCACTTGTTGTCCAAGGGCTTAAACTTGCCTGGAGGGATTAGCAGGGTGGAGTGGGAAGGTGGGGCGAATGAGAGGGGATTGGACACACGAGGGGGGCGAGGCAGGGGCTGGGAGCAGGTTGGGTGCTTTAAACACTGCCTGCACCCACTTGTTGTCCAAGGGCTCAAGCTTGCCTGGAGGATTATTGGTGGCAGGGAAGAGGCTAGGGTAGCGAGACATTAAGCAATGACTGATTGGACATGATGCCTTTGCAGCTCGCCAGGTCTCATTGAAGCAGATGCCTACCCGCCAGCCAGCCAGCCACCCACCTTTGTGGCTGATGCTGCTGGGGATCAAGGAAAGGGTGGGCAGATGGTCTGCAGGAGATCCACCACCGCCAACCCCCCCTTTTGGTTGGACCCTGAGCTCGTGGCGTACTTCACCACGAAAGGGATCAAGGAGCGCGGCAGCGTGTGGCTGATGCTTACCCACCACCACCAACCCCCCTTTTCGAAAGCTGATAATGCGAGGCTACCCACCACCCACCCACCCACCACACACCTATAAAGCAGATGTTCCTATGCCACCCACCTTTGAGGCTGATGCTGCCGGGGATCAAGGAAAGCGCGTCAAACTCAACGAGGTTGTCAACACCGTTGGGCGGGTAGATGGTCTGCACCAGGTCCTTGGAGCGTGGCAGCTTGCGGCCGATAATGCTGCGGTAGTAGCCGCCTGCTGCTGTGGGGCGCGACGTGTACGCCACCTCCCATGCTGGTGCAGGCATAGAGGCATTCGATCACACACACCCGTACAAACACACACACATAAAGTTACATACGTGTACAGTCACACATGCATACAGTCACACACGTGTACAGTCACACTTGCATACAGTCACACACACGAACATTAATACAGGTGGGTTGGATGAATACGTGAGGAAGATAGGTGAGGAGCTACTCAATGTAAGAGGGCCAGGTGAGGGCCAGGTGGAGTTCCTCCAGCCCCATCCCCTCTATCTACTCCTCCGTTGCCGTGACTGGTGATCCTTAGATCGCTGCACTTTATTGCTATGCGCATGCTCAAGGATCTTCATGACTCAGCTGATTGCGTGCTTACCTCCAAACACCAGCAGGCTCTTGAGAGACTCCTCCAGCCACGTTGCCTCTAGATGCTGCATTCTCTTTCCATTGTTCTATGCTCCCTTCATTGATGCACGGCCACTCTGCTACGTGCTCTCAGTGCCTACCCACAACTCAAACACCAGCGGGATCCTGAGAGGCTCTTCTCCTCCAGCCCCACAGCCGCTAGATGCTCCATGCTCTTTCCAGTCTGCTATATCCCCTTACTGCTATATCCCTTACTGCTATATCCCCTTACTGCTATATCCCCTTACTGCTATATATATCCCCTAACTGCTATATCCCCTAACTGCTATATCCCCTAACTGCTATATCCCCTTACTGCTATATCCCCTTACTGCTATATCCCCTTACTGCTATATCCCCTTACTGCTATATATATCCCCTAACTGCTATATCCCCTAACTGCTATATCCCCTTACTGCTGTATCTCCTTACTGCTATATCCCCTTACTGCTATATCCCCTCACTGCTATATCCCTGACTGCTATATCCCCTTACTGCTATATCCCCTTACTGCTATATCCCCTTACTGCTATATCCCCTTACTGCTATATCCCCTTACTGCTATATATATCCCCTAACTGCTATATCCCCTTACTGCTATATCCCCTTACTGCTATATCCCCTTACTGCTATATCCCCTTACTGCTATATCCCCTTACTGCTATATCCCCTTACTGCTATATCCCCTTACTGCTATATCCCCTCACTGCTATATCCCCTTACTGCTATATCCCCTTACTGCTATATCCCCTTACTACAAACACCAGTCTGCTATATCCCCTTGGCACGCACGTCCAAACACCAGCGGGCTCTTGACAGGTTCCTCCAGCCCCGCCGCCTCTAGCTGCTCCAATACCGTGCTCTTAAAGCCCACTGATTTGTTCACTCGGCGGACTGCGCTCACCTCCAAACACCAGTGGGCTCTTGAGAGGTTCCTCCAGCCCCACGGCCTCTAGCTGCTCAACTATCGCCGTCACTGCCGCCCTGCCCTCATCACTCATTGCTGCCCCCCGGTCCGTGTCGTTCACCTGGAAGGGCAAACAACACCACATGGTACATACTTTGATATCTCAAGACCAGGCCCCTCCAGCCCCACGGCCTCTAGCTGCTCCATTATCGCCGCCACTGCCGCCCTGCCCTCATCGCTCATTGCTGCGCCCTTGTCCGAGTCTTTCACCGGAGGAGGTGCAGACGAGGAGGGGTAAGAGGGTGGGAGAAATAAGAGGTGGGGAGAAGGAAGGGGAAACAAGGGGGCGCTAGTGAAGGGAGCTGGGGGCACGGGAGGCGGAAGAAATACGGCGGAAGAAATACGGCGGAAGAAGGGGGGATGTGAGGGGGGAACAAGACGGAGGGAAGAGAATCTGGTTACGAAATACCCGAGTCATACCCGCTTTCGTCGCATCCCTACTGGTAACGTAAACTGGCTCGCCAGAATGATACTACCGCCGTGGACATAGACGCGCTTGCCACCACATTGGCCTTCCAGAGCAGCTTATCCACCAGTCTGTCGCAGAGGTCTGTCGCAGAGGTCTGTCGCAGTGGTCTGTCACAGAGGTCTGTCGCAGAGGTATGTCGCAGAGGTCTGTCGCAGAGGTCTGTCGCGCTCCAGTCCGTCGCAGCCGTCTGTCGTGCCTCAGTTTGTCGCGCCCGTCTGTCGCACGTCAGTCTGTCGCGGCAGTCCCACTCGCCTCCATTTCGGCCTTCCGAATGTGTTCACTTCTTTTCTCACTCTCGCTCCCTCGCTCTCCCCCACTCACTCTCTCCCTCCCGCGCCCTCCCACTCGCCCCGTGTCTCTCTTCCCCACTATCTCTTCACTTGGACACACCATCGGCAGCAGCTTGTCCACCAGCTCCGAAGCTCGCACGCGTACGATAACGCTGACTCTCTTTATTCGACTCTCCTCTCGAGATACACGAGAGCATGGGCGTACCATCGACAGCAGCTTGTCGACCAGCTCCGAAGCTTCCGAGTCCGTCGCGGCCGCACTCGTCACGACATTGGCCTTCGCGCGAACCCTAACGCACTCTCGATCCACGCGACTCGGGCGGCTGCTTGGCAAGGCGCGTGGGGTTATTTGCCGCCCCGCTGATCGCACCGCCACGTTGCCGAGATTGAATGAGTCCGGACGACCGAACGACACGAGACATCTACTATTGTTGCTATTGGCGGGGTTAGCGATGGAACGCGATGCGCTAATAGGAGCCTGAACCGAGCCGGATCGGACGCTCGAGGTTAGCGACGCGGAAGCTGGGGCAGCTGCCATGGCGTTATAAGAATTTCCAGCGTCTGTGCCTAACGGCGTCAAGATGCGTTGTCGGCGGAGGTATAGAATCGCGACCCTGTCTGATTGCTGGCCAAGGGGAGGATTGAAGGACAAATTGTACTTATTTCAGCGGTCAGTTATGGAGAATCATGTTGCCGAACCTTCTGTTAGTTTCTCCTCTATCTCATCAGTTCAATGCCTCGGTCAGGGAATCCGTCAGCATTATTTCGTTTGTCTTGTGCACTCGCACTTGCTTCCGTCAACACAATGTCCTTCCGTCAACAGAGAGTATCCGCTAACCAGCTTCACCCATGGCCACACAACTCCACCAATGTCCACGGGCAAAACGGATTCCAAACGGATTCAGTCACGGTAGTGTTGTGCTAACTCATTGACATGGCGACAGTATCTCGGGAGCCCAGGGAGATCCCCAAGAAGCTAGGAACCTAGCGAGGGCGCCAGCTCAGCACGGGCAGCCAATGAACGAATGCTGAAAGGATCGTGCTTGCGTCAGCCCACCCTCGGTTTCCCTCTGCGACACACGTCGTGTACCCAGACAGCATACACTCCACTATACCGTGCTTTCGACCTTATTTCTCTACATGACAAAACATGACTTGAGGACTACTGATAAATGGTTATTTTGCTCTACAAGATTCGACCGCATGAGTACCTAGGTAACGTACTTAGCTTCTCTAAGTTACTCCATGAGTCGTGGCTCTATTCCATCCACTCAAGTTAACACAGACGTACCACCACCTTATCTAGGCACCAGAAGTGCATGGTCCTACAGATTCCATTGTCATATGTTGGCATACATACTTTCGTCCGTTTTTTGTTTCCCTCGACTACGATAGTGCCAAAAGAGATGTTCAGAATTCACCAATCATCCACTCCCCCAGCTTCGAACTGAGTAGCAGCACACAGTCAGTCAGAGCACCCGTTGAGCCAAACACTTTAGGGGCGAGCATCGCCCCCAGCTGAGCCGTGCCACCAGCATCATCCTGTCACCGCCCCCAGCTTCTAACTGTCGAGGAGCGCACAGCTGGGGTGCCCATGGAGCCAAACACCTCCAGAGCAAGCATGGCCGCCAGCTGGGTCTCCAGCCTCTGCTTGAATGTCCGGGCAGCCTTCGCCGGATCATCCACAGACGACCTCGCTGCTCCTCCTGCTCCACTCTCCCCCTTTTTCGCCCTGGCAGCTGCACCTGGGGGGGGGTGGAACTGTATCTCTACCTCCACCACCACCCCCTTTGCCCCTCCCAGCTTCTTCCTTAGAATCCTCACGTTCCGCGTGTTGGTCAGTGCAGCTGCTGCTAACCCGTGCCTCAAACCCCCGTCCACCTCATCGTTCCATGCGTCCAGCCTGGCAGCAGGAAACAGCAAGGCAGCTTCCACAACAGCTGTCGGGCCACCGCCCCCGTCCTCCCCGTCCCCTCCCCCCCCACCCCCCCCTCCTCCCCCCATTCCGCCATCCTCGGGAATATCTGTGGTCCACCAGGCGCAAGGCAGCGGATACTTAAGTAAGTGCCGCATAGTTTTAACCTCAATCTCCTCCGAAAGGCTTGGAACATTTTTCTGCCCGATTTCCTCTCCCCCCTGCTTCAAGAACCCCACCCTCCAAGCGATATGATTCTTATAACTCTCCGGTAAGATCCTCTCCGCCTGCTTCGTAATTTCCGGGCCTAGCCGCCTCTCCCCTGCCATGGCTCCTAGCACAGCGGCAGCGCGCGCACGCACAGTAATGGAGTTCTCTGTATCGAGTACAAGCGACGCCAGCCGGTCAACCACCTGGTGCTGCAACCCCAACTCCACCGCCTTGGAGCTCAGCCGGAAAAGCTTCTGCATCAGCATGAGGGCGCACACCCGGGGGTCTGTGGCCGCTTGCCCTTGCCTCCCCGCGGGCACCTCCAGCAGTAAGAGCTTAGAGAGGAGAGAAATCAGCTCTTCAGATGAGACAAAATCTGCCACGTCGTTGGATGTAACCATGCGCAGGAACAGTAACACGCCGGCTTGCAGCAGTGCGCGCCGCTCCTCCCCGCTGCCCGACGTGAAAAAGTCCGTCACGGGCAGGAAAATGTCCGTGTTGGTGATGGTCAGCAGGTGCGGGCGGCTCTGGAAAAGCGCGAGGAGGGCCAAAAGCAGCCTCCTGCGATCCGCTATAGTGAACTCCTCATATCTTTTCCCCTCGCTCGGGGCTGCTGTGACTATCGCCTTCCGAATCTCCCGCACCAACTGCAGCTCTACCCGCTTCCCGAGATCGAATCTCGGCTGGCGCAATAGTTGATCCACATAGCATCCGCCAATGTACATTTCCGGCACGTACCCAGCCTTTTCCTGCTCCGAAAATAGCGTTTCTGCTGCCTCTGCTGCTCCTCCTGCTCCTCCCTCCCCTTCATCCTTAGCCAATTCGATGCTCTCGCGGACAGACTGCAGGAAGAAGGGCCGGAACGCTGCCGCTTCTTCCCCTCCTCTGCCCCCACTGCTGCTGCTAGTCTCTTCTCCAGCCTCCAGGTCCCACATGGGCAGCCCCAGCTGCTGCTTCCCCTCACTCACCTCCCCCTCATGCCTCCTCAGCACCTCCTCTGCCTCTCTCTTGATCGCATCCCTTGCTCTTCTCGCCGACGCATCATTCCACACCAACAGGGGGGTGCAGGAAGGCGATCCGATGGCTCGGCATGCTCCCTCAGGGTCGGACATGAGAAGGGAAAGGATGCGCAGCGGCAGCAGCAGGTAGAGGATCCGAACCGAGATGAGAGGCACGGGAGGTGCCGCACCTGGCTCCAGGAGAGAGATCAGGTTGTGGATGTCCCGGACGTCACCGTGAGGGTCGGAAAACACCTCCTCGTCCATCGATATGGTATCGAACCCGTTCACCCCATCCCCTGCTGCTGCGCCTGCTCCTGCTGCTGCTGACCCTTCTCCCTCCTCGATCCCTGCGATATATTTCGCCCGGTCCTGCACTCCGCACGCTGCCAGCAGCAGCTGCCCGAGAATCTGGGCAGCCCGAAACTGCGCCGTGTCGAGCACGCCCGCCTCTTCCGCTTCGTTCCACGCCTGCCCGGCTGCTTTTTTCGTGGTGCCCTTAAAGGGCGGCAGGGGCACGCGGAGGAAAAGTGCGAGCAGTACGAGAAGCAGACTGCTGGAGCTGAAGTGATTCGTAACCGCCACAACCGCTGCCATTTCCACACTAAGGTCCAAAACCGCATCTAGAATTGCCAGCGCCAGCTCACTCAAACCTGCCCCGAAATCTTCTTCCCCCTCCGGTGCCTCCACTCCCGCTTCCACTCCTGTTCCTGGCACAGTGAGAGATCGCCATAATTGCCGGGACAAAACGGGCAGCAGAGAAGATCCCAGCAGCTGCTCCCGGCTTGTAGGGGCACCTGAAACAATCTGCGCAATCCCCACAACTAGCCGCCGGGCAGTTGGAAGAGTGTCCGGGGCAGCGGCTAAAATTTCTGCCAAGAGAAGGTAGTCTATGTGGGCCAGCATGCCTCTCTTTCCATCCTCCACTGCATACCTAATGCACTCCGCTAGGGCTTTAAGAACCATTAGGAACCCGGAAATAGTGGGCGGTTGAGAGGCAAAAGCAGCGGCGGAAGTGGTGATGATGCTGCTAGGCGAAGGAGGAGTGGCAGGGGTGGAGGAGGAGTGGGGGGAGAGGATGGGGAGGGAGGAGCGGATATAGTCTTGCAGAGCCATGAGGAATGCACGGCCGTCAGGCAGGTCGAAATTTTCCCAACTGCCCGCAGCGTATCCGCGGACGAAGATGCCCGAGATCACCATTTCGTCCTTGAGGCAGTCGTATCTAGTGCGGGGGAGAGCAGGAGGAGAGCAGAAAAGTGGGAAAGAATCGGGGGAATGAGTGAAGGAAGAGAGCCGAGATAGCCATTTCGCCCCCCAGGCAGTCGTATCAAGGAAAAACGGAGTGCAGGAAAACGGGAAAGGGGGGAATGAATACGGGAAAGAAGTATTAGGGGGGATACGGGAGGAAGGCGAGGTTTTTTTTGGGGAAGTGTGGAAATACCAGTGCGCAGCCATGCCCCTCTCATCCCCCTCGTCCCACTTGCTTGCACCGGGTTGATCCTCCTGATCCGCCCCTCCAAATCCCGCCTCAGCTCCCTCCCTAGCCACCACATTCCCAATCGCAGTCGGCAGCTCCCCATCCGCCCCACCAGAGCCACAAGCTCACCCACCTGACCTACCAAAAATCAACAGTACCCCAATTCCCGACGCACCTAAGTCCATTTCTCACCCGAACGACCGCAGCCATGCCACTTGATTCTCCTCTTCTGTTGCTCCCCTTGCTACAGAACCCCCCTCCTCCACCGAATCAAATCTCTTAATCCGCCCCTCCACCTTCCGTCTCAGCTCCTCCACAGCCGCGTTCCAGATCGCAGTCGGCATCTCCCCACCTGCCCCCACCAGAGCCACCAGCTTCACCCAGCCTACAGAAATCACACTCACCTCAAATTTCAACGCGCCTGAGTCCATTCCTCACCTGAACGATCGCAGCCAGGCCACCTCGTCCTCCTCCTCCATCCCCCCTCCCTCCCGCCTGCACCAGTTTGAACCTCCCAGTCCGCCCCTCCACCTACCATCTCAGCTCCTCATTCTCTCACACCTGAACAGCTGCCCTATCTATCTCACCTGAACGATCGCAGCCACGCCACCTCATCCTCCTCCTCCGTCCCTGCACTTGCTGCAGACCCCCCCGCCTGCGCCAAATTAAACTTCTTAATCCGCCCCTCCACCTTCCGCCTTAGCTCCTCCCTCACAGCCGCATTCCAAATCGCAGTCGGCATCTCCCCATCCGCGCCCACCAGAGCCACCAGCTTCGCTGCCCCAGCATCAGGGTTCTTAAGCGCGTCCAGCAGGCCCCAGGGGATGACGTAAGACAGCAGCCCGCCCTGCTCCTGCTCCTGCTGCTGCTGCTCCATCTGCTGCATGTGCAGCAGAGAGCCCCGCGGGCTGGGCTCGCCCTCGGGGGGGAGGGCCTGCTCCAGGGTGATTGCCAGGGTGCGCAGCACCTCTGCTGCCACCTGCTGCAGGGCCTTCGCTCTGAAGTTGGGCTCCTGGCCTGTGTTGGGAGAGCGAGGGGGGGGTGAGGGAACAGGCGGAATGGTGACTGCCAGGGTGCGCAGCACCCTGAAGGGCCTTGGCTCTGAAGTTGGGCTCCTGGCCTGTTTTGGGAGGACGGGGGGGTGGGGGAGTAGGAGAGAAGGTGGAAGGGCTTGCTCCAGAGTGATTGCCAGGGTGCGGAAGACCCCAGCTGCCGCCAGCCAGGGCTTCTGCTGCAACACGGTAGCTAAGGCAATGATTACCCTGGATTGCCCTCCCTCGGGTTGACTCAACGGTCACACGTGACACACTGACCTGTTTCGTCTCGGCGCCGCTCGTCCTCGAGGGTTGCTTCAGATGGGACGGCGAGGAGCAAGAGCGGCAGATGAAGGGCCTGCCACAGGGGATTGGGGTGGGGAGGGGGGTGAGGGCCAGGGGGGGAGAGGGGAGGGCCAGGAGGGGAGGGGGGTTTAGGGCCAGGAGGGGAGGGGGTTTTAGGGCCAGGGGGGAAGAGGGGAGGGCCAAGGGGGGGAGTGGGGGGTGCCTGGGATGAGACGGCGAGGAGCAAGATGGGAAGATGAAGGGGCTGAGCCTGGGACTCTAAGAGGAGCGAGCATGGGAGGGAGGGAGGGAGGGAGGGAGGGAGGGAGGGAGGGAGGGAGGGAGGGAGGGAGGGAGGGAGGGAGGGAGGGAGGGAGGGAGGGAGGGAGGGAGGGAGGGAGGGAGGGAGGGAGGGAGGGAGGGAGGGAGGGAGGGAGGGAGGGAGGGAGGGAGGGAGGGAGGGAGGGAGGGAGGGAGGGAGGGAGGGAGGGAGGGAGGGAGGGAGGGAGGGAGGGATGGATGGATGGATGGATGGATGGATGGATGGATGGATGGATGGATGGATGGATGGATGGATGGATGGATGGATGGATGGATGGATGGATGGATGGATGGATGGATGGATGGATGGATGGATGGATGGATGGATGGATGGATGGATGGATGGATGGATGGATGGATGGATGGATGGATGGATGGATGGTTCACACGAAGTCAGAATTGAGGAAATGATTAATTGAAGCACAATTTGGAGAGAGAATACAGATGATGATATAGTCACACACACACAAACCCACAGACCCCCACAAATCCCCACACACCCCCCCCCACACCCACACACACCCACACATCCCCACAAACCCACAGACCCACCCACACACAGCCCCACACCCACCTGGTTGATGAGCCGGTAGCACATGTCTCTGTCACCGGCGAAGTGGTTGAGGCAGTCAAGGGCGGCGAAGGCCAGCGAGCACGGCACCCCATCCGCACTGCTCCTGCTGCTCTCCCCAGCAGCCGAGCACAGCGCCCACCAGAAGCCCTTGCGCCATCTCACATCGTCCCTTAGTTGCTTGCGGCCTTCCCTGTGGGGATAAGCATTGCAATGGGTGTGATTACATGAGACGCAGCAGTGGAAGGTAGAGAGTGTATAGAGCTACTCCTGCTGCTCCTGATTCTCCTGCTGCTCCTGCTTTGCCTGCTGCTCTCCCCCTGCCGAGCACAGCGCCCACACAAGCCCTTGCGACATCTCACATCGTCCCTCAGCTGCTTGCGCCCCTCCCTGGAAAGACCACCATTATACGAGGGTGATTATATGAGATGGAGCTGTGGAAGGCAGAGGGTGCATACAGCATTGCGCCTGCTGCTCTCCCCAGCGGCAGAGCACAGTGCCCACCACCACCGGAAGCCCTTGCTCCATCTCACATCGTCCCTCAACTGCTTGCGCCGCTCTCTCTGGAATAAATACGTCATTCTTGATTAGTAAAACAGGTGTGGATGAGGGGGTGATTTTATGAGGTGAGGCAGTGGAAGGAAGGGGAAACATGGCAGGAGGGACTACTCCGTTAAACAACACTGCGAGTTAGAGGGTGGAGAGTGCGCAGGGGAGGGTCTTAAGAATTCTCAAAACTCTATTTGAAATGTACAAAAGATCCCTCACAGGGACCACTCACTTTGACGATACTGCGAGTTGGAGGATGGAGAGTGTGCAGGAGAGGGCCGGCTTGAGAGGCGACTTGGCAGGGGAGTCTGGGAAGTTTCCATCGAATTACACACATAAGATCGAGTCTTTCGATGGTGCAAATTCCACTTGTGCACCACATCTGTTCTTTGAGCCCGACGCTAAGCCACTTCCCTGGGGGAAGCATCACTCACTTGGAAGAGGCAGCGAGCTCTGGGACAGAGAGGGCACCGGAGAGAGCTCTGATGAGACTTGGCAGGGGAGTTTGGGAAGCTTCCGTCTGCACCGGAGAGAGCAGGCTCCAGAGGGGACTTGGAGTCTGGGAAGCTTCCGATTGACTCATAGCCATGATGGTTGAGCTGAGCTGACCCTAAGGCACTCACTTGGACGAGGCAGCGAGCTCGAGGATGGAGAGGGCGCAGGACAGGGCGGGCTCGAGAGGGGACTTGGCAGGGGAGTCCGGGAAGCTTCCGTCTGACTTCACACGAGCGCCGCATGAGAGCACACTGAGGGCGAAGTTGATGGACGGCTGAGATACGTCTGCATCCCTGTGGGTGAGGTTTGGGGATGGAGGGTCGGGGATATGGAGGGGAGGGCGGGGCAGGGGTATTTGTATGGTGAAGCATTAGCTGACTTCACACCTGTGACTCATGAAAGCATGCTGCGGGCGAAGTTGCTGGACGGCTGAGATACGTCCGCCTCTGCGTGGGTGAGATGAGGGGGGGGGAGGAAAAGGGCAAGGTATGTGTATGTGAAAGCAATAGCTGGCGTCGCACATGCACCGCATGAGAGCGCACTAGACCAGGCCATTTGTGCTGTTGCACAAGCCCACTGAAAGAGCCACTAACTTATCCTCAAAGAAACTCAGCCGCATGCTGCAGGGTGTGATTGTCTTCTGCAAAGGCGGGCAGCTTTTCCGAGAGCATGCTTGGCAGCATGCTGCAGCATATTTGCCATCTGGGGCCGGCAGTCATCTCTCCGCGCTTGAGAATTCTAAAAAACAGAGCACACACGTCCCTCTGGAAAGCAATTTCAACCTCTACCTCCTTTCAATCCCTCCGCTTGCTCATCCCCCGCGGCAGCAACCCCCACAAGAAAATTAGCAGCAGGATGCCGGTCGTCCTCTGCGCTATGGATACCATGCACAAGCACAAGCGTAGTAAAGAAGCCACTTGTCTCGTGTGGCAGCGATTCCCCTCAGGATCTTGGCAGCGTGCTGCAGGATATCCGCCATCTGGGGCGGGCAGTCGTCCCTCTGTGTGATGCACGCTCGTCCCTCTGGCGGCACCTTCTATTGACTCACTTGTCTCGTGTGGCAGCGATTCCCCTCAGGATCTTGGCAGCGTGCTGCAGGATATCCGCCATCTGGGGTGGGCAGTCGTCCCTCTGAGCGATGCACACACGCAGCGCTGGAGTGGCCATGTCGATGACCACACTCTCTGCCTCCGCTCCCAGGGGGATCTGTGGGTACCGGTCCAGAATCACAGCCTGGTGGGAGGAAGAGGGAGGCAGGAAGCCAACACAACATGAGATGTGGATAAATCGTACAATCCGCCCAAGAGGGACCTGCAGGAACCAGTCCAGTATCACCTCCTATGGTGGGGGAGTGGGGGACGGGGAAGGGGGGTGTAGAGAGAGTTGGAGGGGCTTCTCCTGACACCTGACTCCTCTCCTACTACTGCTTGAACGTTCCCCAGATAACGCCCGAGTCATCACCAGCCAACACGTGAGTTGCCACCTGGGAATACGCATCTCACCTGGGAACACCTGACATCTCACCTGAGCCTTGAGCAGCAGCACGAGCCGAGGGCCAAGCCTGCCTCCACGTCTTAGCACCGCTGTCAGCAACAGTATTCAAAAGCTGGTAGTACACCTAGCAATCTATAAAACCAATGAGACATTTCAGAGGCGCCTCAACTGGGCCTCGAGCAGCAGCACGAGCCGAGAGGCCTCCAGCCGCCGTGTCAGAGCACCACCGCCTGCAACTCAATTCCGGCACACCTGGCTATTGATCAACTTACTGTGACATGTCAGAGGCGCCTCACCTGAGCCTTGAGCAGCAGCACGAGCCGAGGGGCCTCCTGCCTCCACGTCACAGCTCCCCCGCCCACTGCTGTGGTCGCCTGCAGGATGCGCTCGTACTCCTGCGAAGATGCGGGATATGGGAGATGGGGGAGGGGGATGGGGGATGGGGGAGGGGGATCGGAGATGGGGGAGGGGGGATGGGACATGGGGGAGGGGCGATGGGAGATGGGGGAGGGGCGATGGGAGTTGGGGGAGGGGGGATGAGACATGGGGGAGGGGGGATGGGGGAGGGGAGGTCGGAGATGGGGAAGGGGGGATGGGATATGGGGGAGGGGGGATGGGACATGGGGGAGGGGGGAATGGGATATGGGACATGGGGGATGGGATATGGGACATGGGGGATGGGACATGGGGGAAGGGGAAGGGGGATGAGCAAGGGGACAAGGGGAGGCGCAAGCGCAAGAGAGGGAAAGATGGAAGGCGAGTCAACATTAGCGCCCATGTGGCACACCACCCACCCACCCACCATCACCACTCTGAGAGCTCAGAGGATGGGGGCCAGGGCTTTTGCGCTCCCTTGTTAGCTCTCTTGCCACCGCGCCACTCAAAACTCATTTTGAGACCACCGCACCACTCAAACCTCATTTTGAGGCCACCACACCACTCAAAACTCATTTTGAGGCGCTCAGAAAGTCGTTTCCTGCAGGATGCGGGGCTTCTGTGCTCTCTTGTTAGCTCTCTTGCCACCTCACCACTCAAAACAGTGGACAACTGAGTTTGCTGTGCTATCCAACAATACAAACCACACCCACCCTGAGCACGCTGTGGTGGAACGAGGTGGGGTCAAACACTTGGTGCCTTCTGAGGCAACTCAGGCAAGATCCACTTCCCCACCTCAAAGCACGCCATTCATCCATGCACATGCATCAACGCACATGCACATGCATCAATGCACATGCATCAATGCACATGCATACTCTCACACTCAAACCACTCACCCTGAGCACGCTGTGGTGGAACGAGGTGGAGTCAAACACTTGGTGCGCGGGGAACCTCTCAGCGTCCAACACGTTGTGCAGATAAACGGGCGCCACGAAGATGGTTCCTGGGAGTTGAATATGGAAGGCAGAGACAGATAGAAAGCAGGTAGGGAAAGCACGCTCAACTCAAGGGAACCTCTCAGCGTCCAGCACGTTGTGCAGGTAGACAGGCGCCACGAAGATGGTGCCTGGGGGGTGGAGGGGAGGGAGACGCAGAAACACAGTTGAAACACCGTTTATGTCACGTTTCATCTTGCCTGCGAGCTCAGGGTACGTACACTATGGCCCGAGGCTCCTAGACGAACATGGCATGGGGGTCACCTGCCACAGCGTTTTCAACTCAGCTGCGAGCTCGGGGTACACGAGGGGCGGTCTGGGCTTGTACACATAGACAGCGTGGGGTTCCCCCACCAGACCATTCAATCTCACCTACCAGGGAGTTTCATCTCACCTACCAGGGCGTTTCATCTCACCTACGAGGGCGGGTCATCTCACCTGCGAGCTCGGGGTACACGAGGGGCGGCTTGGGCTCGTACTCATAGACAGCGTGGGGGTCCCCTGCCCTTGCCTGCACGTACGGCTGCAGGTCCGCCTCCAGGAAGGTTCTCAGGCGGTCCTTCATGTCCTCGTTCCACACTATCTCGGGCGTGTCGATGTCCTCCGTGTCGAGGTTGGATAAGAAGAGTTCAGCTCCCTGAGGTGAATGGAGTGGGCAAGGGACAGGCAGAAGGCATTTGGTATTGGAAGGAGGGAGCCAAAGAGGGCACACACTATCTCGGCTCGGGGGTGGCCATGTCCTCCATGTCCAGGTTGGAGAGAAACAGCTCAGCGCCCTGGGAGGGGAAGTGGGAATAAGACAGCAGGAGTAGGTGGGAGAAAGGGAAAGGGTTTGTTCCACACTATCTCTCGCGTGTCTATGTCTGCCTCGTGAATGAGCTTGGCGATGAGGCCCGCAGGAAGATAGAGGGGGGAAATGATTTGAGCATTCCCACCAACCACACACAGAAAGGGGAAGAAGGAACTCTCTCTCTAAGCGCACCATTTTCCCAGAGCACACAGAGCCTGAGGATGACCTGAGCATGTCACAAGAATTCTCAGAGCACACACGCCACAACAAGCCACGCACCTCCTGAATGAGCTTGGAGACGAAGCCTGCAGGTAGGCACTGCCTTGAGCATGTTCTAACTAGCAACTCTGAAAAGAACCTGTTCGCTGCAACGATTTAGGCTTACTTCATGTCTCTAAGCCCGACCGTACGCACCTCCTGAATGAGCTTGGAGACGAGCCCAGCAGGAAGGTAGAGCCAAAGAATGCCTCGAGCACATTCAAACAGCCCTAAAAACCGCATTCTGCGGACCCACGTTCACTGCAACGATCTAGGGCTAGTTCACACCGGACCCATCCGCCCAACAGTTGAGCGCTACTTCCTGTTTAAGCCTGAACGCACGCACCTCCTGAATGAGCTTGGAGACGAGGCCAGCAGGGAGGTAGAGCCGCAGAATGCTCTCGTGCCATGGCAGGTGCTCCACAACTACCAGCCCCTTCACAGGGGCGTGCTCTAAGGCGGATGGGTCCTGTGCGCGGGGGAGAGAGAGTGAGAACGAGGTGGAGAATGATGGGCAATGGGATAGAACCAATTGAGAGATCTCTCGTGCCACGGCAGGTGCTCCACCACCAGCAGTCCTTTCGCTGGGGCATGCTCTAAGGCGGATGGGTCGTGTGAGAGAGAGAAAGAGAGAGCCAGGAGGAGAATGGAGGATTGGGATAGAAACCATTGAGAATGCTCTCGTGCCACGGCAGGTGCTCCACCACCAGCAGCCCTTTCGCTGGGGCATGCTCCAGCGCTGAGGGGTCCTGTGAGAAGAGTAAGAAGAGGCCGGGATAGGATACTGCTGATTCCCAATGCTGTTGCGCCACGACAGGTGCTCAACCACTACTAGCCCCTTAACCGGGGTGAGCTAAACCACTGCTAACGCTGAGGGGTCCAGAGGGAGAGGAGTCTATTTTTGAGGTGCCTAAAAAACAGACTCCTCACCCAGTGGCCCATTATGAGAGGAGAGGAGGGAATGAGATAGCATTGGACATGAATGCTCTCATGCCACGTCATGGCAGGTGCTCCTCCACCACCACATTCCACCTAAAACCCAAAGCCTCTCCCCAAACCCCAACCCGAACCCAAACCCTGACCTGAACCCCGAACCTTGACCCGAGCCCTAAACCCCGAACCAAACCCGAAAGCCTGGCCTGAAGCCCAAACTCTAGCCTGAACCCCGAACCAGAGCCTGAACCCCAAACCATAACCCTAACCCCGAATCCAGACGTGCACTGGGTGGGTGGGTTCACGCGAGGAACTTGAGAGTGGGAGTCATCGTGGCTGATGTTGCCTGCCACCACCTTCCACAGCAGCAGCATGGGAAAGCACCCAAACCCAGCTAGCCATAACCCTTAAACCCAAGAAGCAGACCGTGAACCTACCTGCACGAGGTGTGTGCGCGCAAGGAACTTGAGGATGCGGGTGCGGTCGTCGTGGCTAATATCCCCTGCCACCACCTTCCACAGCAGCATGGGGAAGCACCCAAACCGGTGCAGCTCGCTGGCCGCCTGCTTGTTCCCCCGGCACAGAATCGAGAGCACCTCGAGGATCCTGGGGGTGGGGAGATGGGCGGACGAGGAACAGTCATGGTGATTGGAGACGATGCAGGCATGCATCTCTCTAGACGAGTGCAGCTCACTGGCCGCCTGCTTGTTGCTGCGGCAGAGAATTGAAAGCACCCCGAGGACCCTCGTGATGGGTGTGGAAGGGAGAAAGGAAGGGGGGTGGGGGAGGGGAGGACAAGGAGGTCGAGAATGGTAGAAATTCCTGCCCAGTCGAATTGGCATGTCTCACTGGCCGCCAGCTTGCTGCCCCAGCAGAGGACGGAGAGGACCTGGAGGTCCTGGTGGCAGGGGTTGGGGGTTTGGGGAAAGGAACAGGCATGGTGATCGAGAACGATTTGGGTGTGAGCTTCTTTGAACAGTGCAGCTCCCTGGCCGGCTGCTTGCTGCCTCTGCAGAGAATGGAAACAAGGGGGAGACGCAAGCACCTCGAGAATCCTAGATCGCAAGGTGGGGAAGAGGGGAAGGAGGGGGAGTTGGGGGCAGGGGACGGATGGTGATTTTGTTCAGGTGGGTGAGTGGTTGTCTGTGTTCTTCTCAGCTCCTGAAGGTCCGCAGCAGCAGCAAATCTCAATTCGTCAAGGGCTACGTTGAGAGGCTGTCTCTGTGACTCTCACCTTCTGAAGCTCGGTGACTTCGCCCGCAGCAGCACCTGCACGAGGCTGCACAGCAGCTCCGGCCGAGCCAGGTCCTCCAGAGGCAGGGGCGGGGGGTACCTCTCCAAGCCTCCAGGCACCTCAATGACACTATTGAGGGAGCGGAATAGGGGGGGGGAAGGGGAACGGGGAAGGGGGAAGGGGGAAGGGGACGGGGAAAGGGGGGGGGGAAGAGACTTTCATCCAGTGCCGGTCTCACACAGAAGAGCCCCATCAATATCACCCTCACACCAAGACGCTTCAAGCAATTCCAGTGCCATGCCATTTGCTTGCCCCTCCCTTGACCGCAAGTTCATTCACTCACTCTAATACAGTCTCCAGCAACTCGAGTGCCATCCCCATCTGCAGCTTCTCTGGCACACTCTCATCCTGCCACTTGATCGCGTCCCTCGCCTCCACACTCCCCCCATGGTGAACCGTGCTTGCGCCGCCCTCCTTCGCCTGCCGCCCAGATGGCACCCGCGCCATCCGCACTTCGCCGTCCGCGCCCACCACCGGCACCACCTCGATTGCTCCCCGGTCCTTCACACTTGGTGCGTCACATTCAAATAGAGTCTCATCCTTGCAGCACTGATAGAGGGGAGAGGGGAGAGGGGAGGGGGGATGGGGGATGGGGGGAAAGGGAGGGGTTGAGGCACCCATACCAGCCTCATCTCGCTATCCGCCCCCAACCACCAGCACCACCTCGATTGCCCCTCGGTCCTTCACAATTGGTGCATCGTATTCGAATAGAGCTTCGTCCTTGCAGCACTTATTGGAGGGGAGGGGAGGGGACGGGAGGGAGGGAGGGAGGGAGGGAGGGAGGGAAAGAGGGAGGGAGGGAGGGAGGGAGAGGGGGGGGAGAGAGGGAGGGAGGGAAGGGGGGAGGGAGGGAGGGAAGAGGGGAGGGGGTAGGGAGGGAGGGAGGGGGGGAGGGTGGGGGCATGGGCGTCACACTTGGACCGCGGGGCGACCACCCATTCCACAAGTGTCCACGCAGTCACCTACGTGCAGTCACCCACCTTGGGAAGCTTATTGACCATGAGTGGCAGGATAATCCACATGCCGCCCGCCTTGACGAACCGGGAGACGGCAGGGAGACCAGCCCACTCCATAATGACCGGCCCTCTACACAAACATTGTGCAGTGCACGCACTACCAGTTACCCCCACCCCAAGAGTCTACCCGTCTGCCCAACTTGGCAAGCGAGTTGACCATGAGAGGCAGGATGATGGACATGCCGCCCACCTTGACGAGCCGGGAGACGGCAGGGCAACCAGCCTGTCCCACTCCCATCCCTCCTCCCTTCTCATCCGTCCACCTCTCCCTGCTACCCACCTTAGCCAGCGAGTTGACCATGAGGGGCAGGATAATCGACATGCCGCCCGCCTTGACAAACCGAGAGACGGCAGGGCGACCAGCCCTCTCCATGATGATGCGGAGCAACAGCAGCGACTTGAAGGCAAACACCACGTGGTCGTTGTCTATGGCTTCCCGCAGCATCGCCACAAAGAGCTGATGGGAGACGAGGGGATGCAGAGGTGAAAAGAGGGGATGCAGAGGTGAAAAGAGGGGATGCGGAGGGGAAAAGAGGGGATGCAGAGGTGAAAAGAGGGGATGCAGAGGGGAAAAGAGGGGATGCAGAGGTGAAAAGAGGGGATGCGGAGGGGAAAAGAGGGGATGCAGAGGTGAAAAGAGGTGAAAAGAGGTGATGCGGAGGTGAAAAGAGGTGATGCAGAGGTGATGCAGAGGTGAAAAGAGGGAATGCAGAATGAGCAGCAGCAGCGACTTGATGTCAAACACCACACTCCATGTTCGTTGTCTGTGGTCTACTGTAGCTGAGGGGTTGATTGGAGAGGGAAAGGCAGAGAGGTGGAAAGACATCCACGTGACCCTGTATGCCTAGCTTTTGTACCCTGCTTTCAGCAATATAAGGACCGCTTGAAAGACAGAGAGGTGGAAGAAGACATCCACATGAGCACATCCACAGCCAGCCTGGGCTCTATCTCCGGCAGGTCACACGTGCCATAGAGGGGCGTGCATCACAGCAGCAGCGCCGCCCAACCTGTACCATCCTGTTCCCCTCTAACTAATACACTGCCCACACCCCGCCCACCTCCCCCTCTTTCCCCCTCCTCTTCTGCCCTGCCCCTTGTCCCCCCTCCATTTTCTCACCTCCACCACGTGTAGGTTTTCCACCACCCCTCGGATCTCCCCCTCGTGCCGCTCATACATCCACGTGAGCGCATCCACAGCCAGCCTTGGCTCAATTTCGGGCAAATCACACGTGCCGTAGAGGGGCGTGAAGCACAGCAGCAGCGCCTGCAGCGTGGCCGTGAAGAGAGCCGCCGGGTCGTCCAGCTTCCAGTGGGCCGCCAGAGCAGGGGAGGAGTCGTCTGAAGGTTGGAGAAGGACCTCCAAGTGAACCCCCTCCACTATGGTCTTGCACACATCTAGGGGGTTGGGGTTAACAGTAGGGAGGGGAAGACGATGGGAGGCACAGAGGGAAAGGGGGAAGGACAGGTTGAGATGGGAGCGGGGACACATGGGATGGGCGTGAAGCACAGCAGCAGCGCCTGCAGCGTGGCTGTGAAGAGCGCCGCCCGGTCGTCCAGCTTCCAGTAGGCCGCCAGAGCAGGGGAGGAGTCGTCCGAGGGCTGCAACAGAACCTCCAGATGGACCCCCTCCACCATGGGCTTGCACACGTCTGAGGGGCGAGGGGAAGGGGGATGGGGTGAAAGCGTAGGGCGAGGGTGGGAAAGGCGTTGCCTGACAGTTGAAGCAGGACTTCCAGGTGTACCAACTCCACCACTATGGGCTTGCACACGTCGAGGGTTTAGGGTTGCGGGTTCGGTGAAACGGGCAAAGGGAAGGATGAGGGCGGGGAAGGAGTCATCCGACGGCTGCAGGAGAACCAACAGGTGTAATCCTTCCACTGTCGCCTTGCACACTTCTGAAGGTTCAGGGTTTCGTATTTAAGGAATGGCAAGAGGACGGGGATAAGAGGGAGGAAAAGGGAGGAGGGGAGGCGAGGGAGTGCAGTCCGAAAGCTGCAGGAGGCCTGCCAGATTCAACCCCTCATGATGATTCTACATGCATGTGAGAAGTGTGATATTAGTATAGATTTTAGACATCTCATAACATCCGAGAGACGCAGGAACCCTGCCGGATGCACTCTGTCGGATGCACCCTGCAGAATGCACCCTGCTCGATGCACCCTGCCAGATGCACCCTGCCGAATGCACCCCCTCGGTACGGCTTTACAGAAATGTGAGAAGCTCTGGGAGTATGCAAGGGGGCCTTCGTCTGTAGCACCCACCATTGCCATTGCTGGCAAGGGAGTAGGCACACTCGCAGTCATCCATGTCCAAGTGAACAACCAGAGTCATCCGTGCTGAAATGAATGCCGTTGCTGCCTCTCATTGCCTCCAATCCTAGCATGCCTGCCCCATCCCGTTACTCGCCATTGTCGTTGCCGGCAGGGGAGTAGGTGCACTTGCAGACATCCATGTCCACGTGAATGTCCGTGCTGGCCGTCTCCTGTGCACTGGTCTATTTAACCAGGGATACACCTACCCATCACCACTTCACCACTCACCATTGTCGTTGCTGGCAGGCGAGTAGACACACTCGCAGTCGTCTGTGTTGAAATGAATGTCCTTGCCGCCTCCTGTGCACCCCAGGGCAGTGTCAAACGCCTCCACCTGCTCCTTGAGGTACTGCCAGCAAGGGCGCAGGAGGAAATCAGGTGTATTCAGCAAAGGTGAGTTCAAACACAACTACAATTCCTCCACTCGTTCCTGTTCGCCCCTGCTCTGGGCAGCATCAAACACCTCCACGTGCTCTGTGAAGTACTGCCCTGCCAGGGTGAAAAAAGGGGCAGATTTTGTCCACAATCCAGCTTTCTGATGCTGTCTCTCCTCACTGCAATCACATGGCCCATGCACACACGCACACATGCACACATGCATACGTGCACACATGCATGCAGTCAGAGAGGCCCTCACCACTTGGGCCCTTCACCTCACCACTCACCGCATGCAGGCCATGCCACTTAACATCATTCCACACTAGCACTGGCGTGGTAATGCTCCTCCTCCTCAGCATCTCCAATGCCTCAGTCCACACCCCCACCACCACCACACTGTACCATCCCCCCACAAAACAAGCCAACCCAAAAAACTCACCACGTCCAGCTCGTGTCTATTGGCATCATTCCACACCAGCACCGGCGTGGTTATGCTCCTCCTTCCAAACGAGCATGCATGCAGTCAGCCTTTCACAGCTTGAACCCTTCCTCACTCACCGCATGCAGCTCGTGCCTCTTGGCACCATTCCACACCAGCACCAGCGTGGTAATGCTCCTTCTTCTCAGCATCTCCAATGCCTCTTTCCACACCCCCAGCACCTCCACACCGTACCCTTCCCCCCTAAGAAACTCACCGCATGCAGCTCATGCCTCTTGGCGTCATTCCACACCAGCATCAGCGTGGTAACGCTCCTCCTCCTCACCAGCTTCAATGGCTGCCTCCGCACCCCCAGCACCACCGCACTGAACCACTGAAAACCCTTGGACAATTCAACCCTTAATACTTACCGCATGCAGCTCGTGTCTCTTGGCATCATTCCACACCAGCACCGGCGTGGTAATGCTCCTTCTTCTCAGCATCTCCAGCGCCTCTTTCCACACCCCCAGCGCCACCACACACCCCAGTCCCCCACTCCCACTGCCCGCACCCCCCCCATGCCCCCCTGCACCATCCGCCCCTGCAGCCCCACTGCCCGGTGCTGTGGCTGTGCTTGCTGTTGCCGCCGCTGCTGCCGCCGCTGCCACTGCTGCTGCGACTTTGAGTCCAGAGGCTAGGGTGGAGCTAGCGCCCCCTGCTGCTGCCGCCTTTGCTGCCTCCTGTTCAAGGGGGCGAGGTGGGACGAGCAAACATACAAGAACAATGAGAGTCCAGAAGCTAGAGTGGAGCTGGCTCCGCTTGCTGCTGCTGCCTTCGCTGTCTCCTGTAGAAGGGGGCGAGGTGGCAAGTACACACATATGAGAGCATATAGACTTAAGAGTCGGAAGGAATGCTAGGGTGGAGCTGGCTCAACTGCTGTTGGAGCCTCAACAGCAGACTTGCTAGCAGCAGTTTTAATTCTAACAGGAAACTATAAAAAACAGAGGTTCCAAGGACCAACAGAGCCATACCTCAGCATCAGCCTTCCTTGCTGCTTCTGTCTTGTCCTTGAGCACAAAGAAGAAGCCCTGCAGGCACGACATGCACGCGAGGAGGAGACAAGTAACACTGTAACATGTTACAGGGCGCTTCAGGACTCAACCACTCTGTCTTGTCCTTGAGTACAACGAAGTGGTTGTCCTCGCCTGCAGGGCAAGACATGCATGCGGAGATGTTGGAGGGAACTGAATCTGAGGCGCCTCGGATCTGCTCACTCTGTCTTGTTTCCTTGGCACATGAAACTGGCTCTGGGCAGCAGATTCGCCAGCAGGTGTTGCGTTTGGGCGTCGGTATCAGCGATGAGGAACAGCAGCTCCGCTCCGCACTGACTGACTGACTGACTGACTGGCGTAGACGTTTGTGCTCACAATGGATGCCAGTAGTACCTACTACCCAACTTTGGCAGCAGATTCGCCAGCAGGTGCTGCGTTTGGGCGTCAGTCTTGGCAATGAGGAGCAGCAGCTCTGCACTGTCCAGCATCGGGGCAAGGCATGCATGGTGCATGCAGAAACACTGGCACATGGGCCTGTGCAAAAGACACACCTTACAAATTCGCCAGCAGGTGCTGTGTTAATCCGTCGGTCTGAGCAATGAGGAACAGCAGCTCAGGTCGGCAGTGACCAGCATCGGGGCATGGCATGTATACTGCATGCACTAACACTAAAACATGGGCCCGAGCAAAAGGCGCACCTTTGGCAGCAGATTCGCCAGCAGTTGCTCTGTTTTGGCGTCGGTCTCAGCTATGAGGAACAGCAGCTCTGCACTGACGTCCCTCGCCCTCTCAAGCTTGTTGAACAGGGCGTTCTTCAGCAGCAGCAGCACCACTGCGCGGGACAGAATCACAGCCTGGAAACAGAGGAGGGAGGGAGTGATGGAAGGAGAGGAGAGGCGCGGGGGGGGAGTGAGACTTGAGCCTCAATTTGTAAATCTTCACGTCCCTCGCCCTCTCGAGCTTGCTGAACAGTTCGTTCTTCAGCAGCAGCAGCACCACTGCGCGGGACAGAATCACAGCCAGGAAACAGAGGAGGGAGGGAGTGATGGAAGGAGAGGAGAGGCGCAGGGGGGGAGTGAGACTTGAGCCTCAATTTGTAAATCTTCACGTCCCTTGCCCTCTCGAGCTTGCTGAACAGGGCGTTCTTCAGCAGCAGCACCACCACTGCGCGGGACAGAATCACAGCCTGGAAACAGAGGAGGGAGGGAGTGATAGAAGGAGGGACAGAATCACGGCCTGAATGGAGGGGAGGGGACGGAGCAATGGAAGGAAGTTGAACACCCTTTCTAGCTAGCTGAACAGCGGATAATCTCAGCCATCAGAGTACAGGAGAGAATCTCAGCCTGACATTCGACGCAGGGAAGAGTGGAAGGAAGGAAGGGGCCAGTAGTCAAGTTCACGAGTATGAACAGTCAGCTGAAGCACACGCATGAAATGAGAGGCACGTGCACGCCCTTCAGACAACACAAATGCAAGAAGCGAGCGGATTCAAACAGGCCATTACCCTGAAGCGGGTGATGAAGGCCGGAGAGCAGCAGCTGAAGATGGTCTTAATCAGCACCGCGTTGCTGCCGGGGGGGGCAGGGGGAGAGAACAAGGGAGAGAGGGAGTGGAGAGAAAGAGGGTGATAGTTCTTTTGAGACGCCTCAAATAACAGTAGCTGAAGATGGCCTTCATCAGCAGCGTTGCTGTGTGTGTGAGGGGGGGGGGGGGGGAGGAGGGAGATGTGTGTGGGAGAAGGAGAGGAAATGGGAGAGAGAGAGGGAAGATGAAGAAACAGAAAGAGAATGAAAGGGAGGGGGGGTGAGGGGGGGTAGGGGAGAGGGGGAGAGGGGGGAGAAATGGCAGAAGCAGTAACAACGAAACACTCTACTGCAATACAACAGTAGCATTCAACAGAGACACACACATGCACACACGCACGCGCGCACACACACCCACCCACCAACTCTCACACACGCACAAACACACAAGCACACACACACACGCACCACACACACACGCACCACACACACACGCACCACAAACAAACGCACCACACACACACGCACCACACACACACGCATCACAAACACACGCACCACACACACACGCACCACAAACACACGCACCACACACACACGCGCCACACACACACGCACCACGCACATGCGCCCACTCACCTGCAGTACATGATGTTGCTGCGGCTCCGGGAGATGGCACTGATGACGTCAGCAGCCACAAGCAGAGAGCTCTCGAGGGTCTAATTGGGTGGCAGAACGAAGACAGGTGAAAATTCGGGCAGGTCAAAGCGTGGGCAGGTGAATTTTGAGCATGTGGACGTAGAGGCGTGTTGTGAATGTAGAGATGAAAGTGATGAAACGAGGCCAGGTGAAAGCAGCAGTTGCATGATGCTAGAAGCGAAGAGAGAATGTGTAACCAGATGAGGGAAGATAGAACAGCTTGAGAACGAATGAATGCGAGGTGGAAATTGCAATGCGATAGTGACGTGATGTGGGTAGGAGTGGAAGCAGAAAGAAACTCCCTCTGTAACCTACCCCACTGCTAGTATTACCTTCATCCCTTGATTCTCTTACCTCCATCCAGTTTTTCTCGGCCTCAGCATCCGATGATGGCGGCAGGTGCAGAGCGAGGTTGAGAATCTCCAGAATGCCTTGCACCTGTGGGGGGGCCGATGAGATGCAGATCGAAAGGGTGGGGTTTATGGTCGTTTTGAGTCGACTCAAAACTTGGCCTCAGCACCTGATGATGGTGTTGAGAATCTCGAGAATGCCTTGCACCTGTGGGGGCACGAGGGAGGGGGCATTAAGGGGTGTGTCAAGAGCAGCAACGGGGCACAAACTACCAGTGACACGCAGCTGAGAGCGCGTGGAATTCCTTGCACCTGTGAAAGGGGCGAGGCAATATCAAAGTGCATGTTAGAAAGATATCGAGAGCAAATTGGTAAGATATTTAGGAGCACTATGGTGGGATATCACGAACCATTTTGGTAAGAAAATGGAGAGCATTGTGGTCAGACATAAGGGAGCAGTGAGCATGGTAGGACATCAGAGAGCAAAATGGTAAAATTCCAGGACCATGATGAAAAGATTTTAAGGAGCAGATTGGGAAGCACATTTCTAATGACATGCCATAGAGAACCTCAAGGTTGTCTTGCATCTAAGAGGAGGGTGAGACTGAGACACGCTCCAAACTCTGGGAGTTTCAAAGCCATCCTCACGACATCTTGAATCATGCTCACACACACCTCCAGCAGTGCATTTTGGTGCACAAGGGCCTCCCTCCGTCTGCTGTCATATACACACTATGGGACGCCTAAAAAACACGCTGCTTGACCCACCTGCAGCCCAGGATGCACAGCCCAGGGTGCACAAGGGCCTCACTCCATCTGCAGCCATACACAAACGCACACTACAGGACGTCTCGAAAGGACGCTCTTTGACCCACCTGCAGCGCATTCTGGTGCACGAGAGCGTCAGTCTGCAGTCTCGCCACCAGCACCTGCAGGTTGTCCCCACTCAGCACCACGTGCTTGTTGGCCGCCTCCTGTGAGTGCACATGGGGACACATACAAAGGGAAATAGCGAATACGTTGGTACGTGGTGACCCCATGGTCCAGACTCCACACACACCAGCACTTGCAGGTTGTCCCCACTCAGCAGCACCACATGCTTGTTGGCCGCCCCCTGTAAGCCCAGACCAGACCAGACCAGAGGGGTCTGACAGAGTCAATATAGAGAAATGCGTTGCTAGACGTTTGGCTCGCGGCTCATAGACCCAAGCACCTGCAGGTTGTCCCCCCTCAGCACCACGTGCTTGTTGGCCGCAACCCAAAAATGCAATAAAAAATCAGAGAAAAGTTTCATTTGGGTAAGAAAGAGGCAGTGTGGGCTTGGATGAGAGGCTACCGCCTAGTGTGACCCAGCTTATATGAGGAGCAGATACCATATAAGATTCAAGATGCCGCCCTCCTAGACATAAACGAACTCACGGCATGGGCGGGCCAGGCCTGCATGAGGAAGGAGGAGGTGGCAGTGGCTCTGGCAGCAGCAGGGGAGTCAGCGGCTGGTGAGTCGGCCGAGTAGTGCTTGATGGCCGCTCGGATGGTGCTGGCTGCTGCGAATGCCACCACTGAGGACGGGTGCTTCAGGGCCTGGGAGTGGAGAGATGGGGGGAGACATGGGAATGCGTTAAGACAGGAAAGTATGCTAGATGGCCACTCGGCTGGTGCTGGCTGCTGCGAATGCCACCATTGAGGAGGGGTGCTTCAGGGCCTGGGAGCGGGGAGAATCAGGGGCGTGAGGACAAGGCAGTGGGACGGGGGAAACGCGCGTGTGGCATTGATGGATCACAGCTGCTAGATGGCCGCTCGGATGGTGCTGGCTGCTGCGAATGCCACCACTGAGGAGGGGTGCTTCAGGGCCTGGGAGCGGGGAGAATCAGGGGCGTGAGGACAAGGCAGTGGGACGGGGGAAACGCGCGTGTGGCATTGATGGATCACAGCTGCTAGATGGCCGCTCGGATGGTGCTGGCTGCTGCGAATGCTGTTAGAGATAGGCTGCAATTCGGTTGGCACAATTTTGTGTGTTGACACTTTGTTGGTTTTAGGGATACTCATATTTGTTAGGTTGGGTGTAGCTATGTTTTCATCCCCAACCTATCCCAACCCAATCCATCCCAAATCCCCACGATTTGGGAGGATTCCCTTGGGATTCCCTCCGATTCTCCCTTATCCCTTCCCATCCTCTCCGATGCTCGGTACTTAAGGATGTATGCTCTTGCTCATTTCAATCAATCAAGTTCTCAGTTTCTGATATGGTATCAGAGCTCGTTTCCGCCTAAGCGGCTCTTGATCCTCTCGCTCCGTTGGAGCCTAGCATTTGCGTCTTACGACGCAAAGCTTTTCTAGTCGCCTCAACTCAGCGCGGCGCTTCTTTTCGGGCTGAAGCCCGTCGCCCCGCATCTGCTCGTCGCACCTGATCGGGCTGAGTCCGTCGCCCCGCATCTGCTCGTCGTACCTGATCGGGCTGAGCCCGTCGCCCTGCATCTGCTCGTCGCACCTGATCGGGCTGAGCCCGTCGCCCCGCATCTGCTCGTCGAAGCTGGACGGGCTGTCGCCCGTCGCCCTTGCAACAGCGGGGGGGTGCAGCGGCGAAGCGGAAAGGGGGCAGCGGCGAAGCGGAAAAGGGGGGGTCGCGGAGCAGCGGGATTGCAGCAGCACATCGCGGGTTTCCATAGATTTTTGGCGTTCAGATTTCCCTCTTTATCGGCTATTCCTCTTCTCCGAGTGTTGAAAATCCGCAAAGGGAAACCCTGTTTTTCGCGGAGCCTATCGGCGACTTAAGAGCTGCGCTACACGCGGAGAAAGGGTCCTTGGAGCATCATGGCGTACCCTTCCGCGTCTCTCTCAAACCCGATTACTCCCTTGCACCTCGACCCAAATGGCTCAAGCCCTAACTTCAAGGAGTGGAGCTATGGGGTTCATAAGCATCTCCTAAGCCGCAAGATTGAGGGGATTTGCCTCAAGGATGTCCTCCTCAATCGCGGCAAAGGAAAGATGCCGGCCCTTCCCAAGAAGCTCTCGGCCACGGCCACAGAGGAAGAGTCAAAAGCGCATGAGGACTCCATGTGTGAGGAATCTTACAGCGTGTGGGAGCAAGCCGACACCGCTATCATCGGCATCTTCGTCGGCACCACCCCTTCCGAGCTCGTCAAAACTTACCATAACTACCCCTCCGCGCACGCCATTTGGGAATACCTCAACAACCGCTTCCTCAACAAAACCGCTGTGGGGGTGGCGATCCTCATCCCCCGCATGTTTCAAGTGCGTCTGGAGGAGTGTCCTGGAATGGCAGATTACGTCACTGAGATTCAAGGGACTCATTAGGAGCTGAAGCAACTCGGCATTGTCTTCCCATAGCAAGCCCCTGCAGCAGCTCTGCTTGTTGGGCTGACCCCCTCTTACAATGTCACCCGCTCCATGCTTCTCCATCTCCCGCCAGAAGAGCTAACCTTTGCCAAAGTCTCTTCCGCACTTCTCTCTGCTGAAAAAGACAACACTGCGCAGGCTCGTGCAAATGCGCTTCGCGCTCCTGTCCCGGCTCCAGCATCGCGTCCCAATCCGCCACCCACTCGTAACCGCTACCCACCCTGTCCTTACGTCATCAAAATGGGACCCCGTGCGGGTCAGGTGTGCGGCGGCACCAATCACCCGCTCGCCACCTGTTTCAAAAAGAAGGACGACGACTGGTTCGCCAAGAATGGTATCAACTCCAAGCCGCCCAACTGGCTTCGCATGCGCCAGCTCAACCAGGTTGAGGCACAGGATAGTCAGGACTCAGCCGTTCATGCCCCTAGTCCTGATGTTCGTCTCAACCTGTTGTTCCCTGGCCTTCCCATGATCAATGAAACCAGTTCCCAGTACTCGACGTCTCCACAAACACCATCTAAACCGCTTGAATTCGTCCTGGACAGTGGCGCAACCCACACTGTCCTCCGAGACAAAGAGTCTTTCAAACCATACCAAGCACCCATTCCTCTTCTGGGCGCTGACTCCAGCTTCACAACTGTCGCCCATGGTTCCTCCACTCTTCCATGCCCAGCCTTCCCATCTGGCACAGTCACTGGCATATGCGTGCCCACTCTTCGGCACAACTTACTTGCACAACATGAGATTCAACGAGCAGGGGTAACCACTATCTTCCCAGCTCATTCCAATCACTGTGATCTCCTTCAGCCCACCACCAATGCCCTACTTGCACGCTTCACACTGACCGCCAACAACCTCTACACACTCCAAGTACCTCCATCTTCCACAGAAGCACACTCTACCTCCACCACATCATCGTGCTCCTGCCGTCAGCTCACCGATCCAACCATTCTTTACCACCATCGTCTTGGGCATCCCAACTTCCGCATGCTCTCCGAGCTTGCGTCTAAGAAGTTGCTTCTTCACCTGCCCGACACACTTCCTCCACCCTCCACTTCTCCCGCTCCTCCATGCTTGGACTGCGCGCAAAGCAAACTACGCCAGTTGCCTCACCCTTCCTCGCCCTCTGCTGCAGCCGCCCCGCTTGACCTCGTCCACATGGACGTCTGGGGCCCAGCTCCAGCCCGCTCTCGTGGCGGGCACTCTTACTTCCTAGTGCTCGTTGACGATCACTCTCGCTATGCCTCCGTCCACCTACTCTCCTCCAAAGCAGCTGTTCCAGATGTCGTCATCGCATGGCTTCGACAAGCCCAAAATCATTTCCGCACTTCAGTCAAGTGCCTCCATTCCGATGGCGGTGGCGAATTTCGAAACCATTCCCTTCAAGCGTTCTGTGCCTCCCAAGGCATTCGCCAGACCTTCACCCTTCCCCACAGTCCGCAGCAGAATGGCATTGCCGAAAGTCGCAATCGCACTCTCGTGCAAATCGCTCGCTGTCTTCTCACTCACGCTGGTGCACCACCTTCCCTTTGGGGTTACGCCCTCCTTCATGCCACGCTGCTGTACAACCTTCACCCTCACCCTCTTCGGCCTGCCATCACTCCCGCTGAACTGTGGACCGGCACCAAGCACAGTGCACGTCCTCTCCGCGTATGGGGGTGTACAGCTTATGTCCTCCTCAACCCTCAGGAACGTCGCACCCACGGCGGCAAATTTGCACCCAAAGCTCAACCCTGTGTCTACCTCGGCCACAACCTGGACTCTCCCGATTACCTTTTCCTCAATCTCTCCACCAATCAGCTCATTCGTAGCCGCGATGTCGCCTTTGACGAGAGTCGCCCTTTTTACCTCTCTTCACCACCCCCCACCGCTCCACCTTCGCTTGTGTGGGCCGATTTCGATACTTCACCCACCCCACCTCCTCCCTCTGCCGCTCCTGCGGCCCCCTCACTCTCACCTTCCCCATCTCCTTCCACTCTCTCTCACCCCTCTTCGCCCACTGGCTCAGTTGCCCGTTCACCTCCGCCCGCGCCTGCACTTCCCCCTGCACCCGCTCCTGCAGCTGCCCCTCCACCTCCCTCTCCTTCTGTGGCTCCCCCTGCCCCCGTGCCTCCCTCCCCGCCTTCACCTCCGCTTCCGCCTCCAACCTCCACCTCTCCTCCCGACTCGCCCATCACCTATCGTCGCCGTCGCCACGGACGCTCTTATGTCGATGTCCCACCTGCTCCCCCGCCACCTCCCTCCTCTCCTGTCCTTATTGCTCACCGCACCCGCTCTCATGGTCCCGCTCCGCCTCTCGCCCTCTCTGTTCGCATCTCCCTCAATCCGCCTCCTCCTGCCGGGGGTGCATCCATGCCTGGCCTCTTGGAGGATAGGCATGAGGAGCTGATTGAGATCAATGCTGCCATCCGTCAGCTCTGCCATCTCTTCCCCGACCTTGCCGACGCTCCAACTCTTAACTTCTCGGAAAATTCATCCATCCCGACCCCGAACTCATATGATGAAGCCATCTCTGGACCACACTCCCCCCAGTGGCTCGCAGCCATGATCGCGGAGTGTGAAGCATTCATTCGCAACAACTCTTTCACGGACGTCTCTCCTCCGCGAGGAGTTAACATTGTCCGTGGCAAATGGGTTTTTCGCGTCAAGCAGCTGCCTGGCGAACTCCCAGTCTTCAAGGCGCGATACTGTGCAAAAGGCTTCACGCAGAAGAAGGGCCTGGACTTCTTCGACACATTCTCTCCGACAGCCAAACTGCCCACACTTCGGACTCTGCTGGACATCGCTGCTCGATGCAACTTTGACGTTCACTCCATGGACGTCTCTGCTGCATTTCTCCAAGGGGATCTCCCCGAGGACATCTACATGGAACCTCCTCAAGGATTTCCCTTACCCTTTCCACCCGGCACGGTCTGGAAGCTGAATCGACCAGTCTACGGGTTGAAGCAGGCTCCTCGGGAATGGCACAAGAAGCTGAAGGCAACCCTCGAGTCACTCGACTTCCACCCCTCCTCAGCCGATCCGAGTCTCTTCATTCGCAAGAACGACAACCCGTTCTTCATCCTTGTCTACGTTGACGACATGATTCTCGTCTCCAAGGACTCCGATCAGCTGGCAGCTGTTAAGCAAGCTCTTGGGGACGCTCTCGCCATGAAGGACCTCGGTGAACTCAAGAACTACCTTGGGATGGAAATCTCGCGGGATCGCGAAGCTCGAACCATCACTCTCTCTCAAGAGTTCTATGTGAACAACGTCCTCAAGCGTTTTGCCATGGACAACGCCAAGCCAGTGGCTACTCCCCTTCCCTTGCAGCATGATCTGACCACTCCATCAGTTCCATCGCCTGAGCCTTGTGATGAGGCATACCCCGAGCTCGTCGGATCACTCATGTATGCGATGATGTGCACAAGGCCCGACCTCGCCTACCCCATCAGTGTGCTCTCGCGTTACGTTGCTGCCGGTCGATACACCAATCGCCACTAGTCGGCTGCTAAGCACGTCCTTCGCTACCTCCAAGCCACCAAGGACTACGTCCTCACTCTCGGTGGCACGACCCCTCCTCACCTCGAGGGATACAGCGACTCCTCATGGGCTGATGATCAAGCTGACCGCCGCTCTTCCCAAGGCTATTGCTTCACCCTTGGCAGTGGTGTCATCAGCTGGCGATCTACACGCTCATCATCCGTCTCATTGTCATCTTGCGAAGCTGAGTTATACGCAGGCACCATGGCAGCCCAAGAAGCTCGATGGCTTACCTACCTCATGGCTGAGCTCGGGTATCCTCAGCAGACCCCGACTCTGTGGTGTGATAACGAGAGCACTATCCACCTCACCAAAGATCCTGTCTTCCACCAACGAACCAAGCACATCGAATTGAGACACTTCTTCATGCGCGAGCTCGTCCAGCGAGGGCAGTTGTGCGTCAAGCATATTTCCTCTGACTGCAACCTCGCCGACTTGTTTACGAAGGCTCTTGGACGCCGTGATCACTATCGTCTCCTCCGTACCATGGGACTTGGCGTCCCTACGGCTTCCGACGTTGCAGCCTAGGGGGTGTGTTAGAGATAGGCTGCAATTCGGTTGGCACAATTTTGTGTGTTGACACTTTGTTGGTTTTAGGGATACTCATATTTGTTAGGTTGGGTGTAGCTATGTTTTCATCCCCAACCTATCCCAACCCAATCCATCCCAAATCCCCACGATTTGGGAGGATTCCCTTGGGATTCCCTCCGATTCTCCCTTATCCCTTCCCATCCTCTCCGATGCTCGGTACTTAAGGATGTATGCTCTTGCTCATTTCAATCAATCAAGTTCTCAGTTTCTGATAAATGCCACCACTGAGGAGGGGTGCTTCAGGGCCTGGGAGCGGGGAGAATCAGGGGCGTGAGGACAAGGCAGTGGGACGGGGGAAACGCGCGTCTGGCATTGATGGATCACAGCTGCTAGATGGCCGCTCGGATGGTGCTGGCCGCTGCGAAAGCCACCACTGATGATGGCTGCTTGAAGGCCTGATGTGAGAGAGACAAGGGGGAGAAGGGAGTGCAGGATGGGTAGAAGTGGGCATGGCATCGATAGATCACAGATGAATCGCCGCTTGGATGGTTTTGCTGCAGCGAATGCCACCATGATGATGGATGTTTGAGGGCCTGATGAGACAAAGGAGACAGGGGAGTGCAGTGCAGGGTGGGAATAAGTGAGCGTGACATTGATCAATCACCGCTTTACATTGCTCGGGGCTGCTGCCAATGCCGGCACTGATGAGGGATACTTCAGCGCCTGGAGGGTAGGGCCGAAAGCAGTAACATGACAGGAAGGGCATGCAGGGACATGTATGCGGGCAAAAGCGCATGTGGTTTTAAATGATCATAGCACGATGGCCGCACGGATGGGGCTGGCTAGCTGTTGCAAATGCTACCACTGATGATGGACTATTGCCTGAGGGCCCGGGGTTTAAGAGAGTGGAAACGCGGGATAGGAGAGGAGGGAGACAGGGGGATATGTGCGTAGTATGAGTAGGCCACTTTTGAAGGGCCTCCTTACAGTAGTAAACGTTGACGGAACGTCAGCAGCACTGAGGGTGGGTGGGTGGGTGTTTCAAATCCTGGTGTGGGGGAGATGAGAGACAGCAGGCGTCCCTGCACCTAAACCCTGAACCATTTACGATTCACACCTTTATGAGGATGCTGATGAAGTCCGGGTTGGACTTGACCGACTCAAACACGCCTCTTGTGCCCAGCAGCCGCTGGATGACAGAGCAGCATGTCACCGCGTACGATGCTCCCAGCCCTGGCTTTAAGTCTGTGGTGACATCACATAGTGCATCCATCCACACATGCATGCATACATGCATGCACGCAATCATGGGTACAGTGCACAGTGACAGGCGCACAGCATCCATGCACACACACACATACATGCATACACGCATGCACACACACACATACACGCATGCACACACACACATACACGCATACACGCATGCACACACACACATACACGCATACACGCATGCACACACACACATACACGCATGCACGCACACACATACACGCATACACACGTGCACGCACACACATACACACATGCGAGCGTGCGCACAAACAGAAGCAGCCAGAAGAAAAAGGAGAATAGAAGAGGACGCAATGAAGATGGACCACAATGGATGTTGGCAGGCACCTTCATAAACGCTACTGCTCCATGCGCTCATAGACGGAAATAGAATGTAGCTGTCGGCACAGGCACTTATTCAGGCTCTCAACTTACCCAGACTGGCCCTGAGCATCTCTGCAACAGTCAGCATGGGGCGGGCGTCAACACAGAGGGAGTCCTTCGGCTGCATGTTGCAGGCGTACTCCTTCACCATGGACAGCCACGGCCCCACCACCTCCTCCAGCATTCAAACCCGAGAGTCTCTCAACTTACCAACGCAAACCTGCAAACTCATCTGGACACATCGAGACCCCAGGGCTCAGGTTCAAGGGTCCAGCCCAGGGCGGGGTTTAGGGGTTTTGAGTCAGGGTTTAGGCATTTCAACCACGAAAGGACTTACCCAGGCTGGCCCTGAGCATCTCTGCGACGGCCAGCATGGGGCGCGCATCGATACAAAGGGAGTCCCCTGGCTGCATGTTGCAGGCGTACTCCTTCACCATGGGCAGCCACTGCCCCACCACCTCCGGCTGCGTGAGCTCTGAGAGGTTCTCCCTGTGCGTCATGAACACCGTCATGAAGCGCGCTATCAGGTAGATCTCGTACTCGTTCTGGGGTGGTTATTGGGAGGAAGTTGGAGTAGGGCGAATGAGGAGTGCTGTGGGCGACAACGAGAGCAGAAAACACTTGAACAAGGTTGGAAGGGTGTGTGAGCTCTGACAGGTCGTCACACCGTCATGAAGCACGCTATCAGGTAGATCTTGTACTCGTTCTGGGGTGATGCGGGGAAGGATGGGAAAGCAAAGGGGGGAACGGGGGACGGTACCGTGTCAGGGATGCATTACATGACAGGGAACTTGGGAGAGACACGGTATGAGGTTGTTCTCCCTGTGGGTCCTGAACACCGTCATGAAGCATGCTATCATATCAGGTAGATCTCGTACTCGTTCTGATCTCAAGTGGTTGTAGTAGGCGGAATGGGGTAATAAAGGCAGGGAAGGCGGTTGAAGAGTACAATATGTGAAGTGCCTGGAGGGGAGACTGCCAAAGAAGACCGTCATGGAACGAGCTGTCAGGTAAATTTTATTCTACAGCGGAAAAGAGAAAGGGGGGAATATGACGGAGCATGTGGGGAAACGTTGGGCCGAAAGGGGAGAGGCTATGGTGCGGAGGGGAGGAGGAGGGGGAGGAGCGGGGAAGAAGGGGGAGGAGGGAGGAGGAGAAGGCAGGGAGGAGTGGGGGAGGAGAAGGCATGCCAGACAGATGCTAGACAAGGGGAGCGTGCGCACCTGGTGGAGCGGAAGGGGTTTGTCCGGCAACGTGTGGGGGAGAAGAGCGGGGAGGAGGGGTGGAGGAGGGGCGGAGAGGGGACGAGGGGAAGACGTACCTGCCAGATACTAGCGGAAGGGAAAGCACGCACCTGGTAGAGCGGGAGCGGTTTCTCTGGCAAGGTGTGGTGCGCGAAGGGCTCTAATCGCACGGAGAAGTTGCGGGCCTTGGCGTGGTTGACCACCTCCGCCAGACTGCCCACCAGCGCCTCTCTGTCCGCCACAAAGTACTGCGTGGGCCGCCACCCCCCCAGCTCCACTATCACCTCGCTCTCATTCTTGTCCGATACCACCAGCCCAAGGATGTCGCTCAGACTGTTGGACACACGCACCAAGCGGAAATCGGTTCGAAATTTGAGCATAGGTGAGCAGCAAGGGGCAATCAGTTAGAAATTTGAGCAGAGGCGCCACCCACTCAACTCCACTATCACCTCCCTCTCGTTCTTGTCAGATACCGCCAGAGCAAGCATGTCGCTTCGACTGTTGGGGAGTCACACATGAACACGGAGAGAAGGGCACAACAAAACCCGCACCTGTGCATCGCAATCACATGGCTGCCAGTCATCTCAGCCATGAACTTCTTGGTCAGCACCAGCCGACACATGGCCACCTAATGTATCCCTCCACTGCCTCCCCTTACAGCCACTACCCAAAAATGACGCAACTGTAACACTCAGTACTCTCACCTGTGCAGCGCAATGACGTGGCTGCCTGTCATCTCGGCCATGAACTCCTTGGTCAGCACGAGCGTCCTCTCCCTCTGCATGCCGCTGGCGGGATCGTTGTTCTTCACCACTGAGAACTCGTACAGCACAGGGGACGCGCGCTGCAAGGGGCATTCCGCGGGGGGGGAAGAGGAGGGGGGGGGGAGGGAGGTAAGAAGGAGGGGGGAAGGGAAAGGGGGGGTGTTAGGAAGAGCAGGGTGAGAGTGGTATTAGGAGCTGCTCCCTCGGCATGCCGCTGCCAGGGTCGTTGTTCTTCACCACTGAGAACTCGTACAGCACAGGGGACGTACGCAGCAAGGGGGGAGAGGGGAGAGGAGGACATGCGGCACGGGGGCGTGGGGAGAAGCTCAGATGCCCACGCACGCCACACCATACTGCCGACGCACGCCATGCTGCCCGCACCATACTGCCCACGCACGCCATACTGCCCACACCATACTGCCCACGCACGCCAAACTGCCCGCACCATACTGCCCACGCACGCCATACAGCCCACACCATACTGCCCACGCCTCACTGCCCACGCCATACTGCCCACGCCATGCTGCTGAAGCAACTCAAACAAGGCACTTACCAGCGACTCTGCCCTTGCATGGGACTGGAGCCGGGGGAATGAAGGCACTTACCAGGGACTCGGCCCGTGCGTTGGTGACCATGAGGATCTCTTCCCCCGTGACTCGCTGCACTGGGATGTGCTTCTGGAGATACATCTGCCAGGCCACACGCCACATAACAACAAGGCAGACACAGAACAGTCCAGATGCAGGGATCAAGAAGATGAGAAAGCGATCATCCTTGCTTCTTATGAGAATCGAAGAAGCCACTGAATTAGCCTGAAAACGAGACCACCCATGGCCCGCCCGTATGGCTGCTCGCAAGCGTGCCTGTGGTCTTCTTCGTCTCACCTTAACGTTTCTCTGCACGGCTGAGGCGAACTGGTCCGCCACCAGCAGCTGCCACACCCGCGACGTGATGAGCAGCAGCACCTGCCATACCGTCTCCCTTGCTGTTTTATCCCTTTCAACACGCCATCTCTCTCCACACCTCACCTTGGCGTTTCTCTGCACGGTAGAGGCGAACTGGTCCGCCTCCCCATCCACCAGCAGCTGCCACACCCGCGACTTGATGAGCAGCAGCACCTGCTCTTCCCCCTTCCCTATTCTCCACCTCTCAAAACCCCAACTCTCTCCGCGTCTCACCTTCGCATTCCTCTGCACGGTAGAGGCGAACTGGTCCGCCTCCCCGTCCACCAGCAGCTGCCACACGCGCGACTTGGTGTGCAGCAGCACCTGCTCGTCCCGATCGCCTGCCGTCTCGATCTTCATCACATCCACCAGGTTGATCTTCTTCATGCTGCTCACCTGGGGTCAACGAAAGGTGGGGTGGCGGGGGGGGGGGGGGAGAGGGGGGGGGGGCGCGCAAGGGAGATACCCTTAATCTCCCCGGGATCCGACTTGGTGTGCAGGAGCACCTGCTCGTCCCGATCGCCTGCCGTCTCGATCTTCATCACATCCACCAGGCTAATCTTCTTCATGCTGCTCGCCTGAAAATGAAGGGCAAAAAAATGGGAATACTGCTCTTGAAAGACTCTCAAAGCACACTCGCGACTGGGTGTGCAGCAGCACCTGCTCGAGCTAGTTCTCAGCCGCCTCTATCATCATCATCCTCGCCAATCGTTCAGCTGCCCTCCTGTGACAAACTCCGCTTTTGAGTCGACTCAAAAGCTGCTCGTGCTTGTAGTTCCCTGCCGACTCTATCGTCATCATCACCGTAAATTGTTCCGCTGTTCTCCTGTGACAAAATCCGACTGTCACCAGCGCCTAAGATTAGGCGCCGCAATTTCCGATTGACTCACCGTCTGTCGCTCGTGTCGCACGCCAGCGGCGACCATCTTGACGAGCGACGCGCTTCTGACTCGCAGCACTACCTCGGTGTACTCGCCGCGATGGTTGCTGGCCTTCCGCACGGGGAAGTCGGTTCCTGCGATGCAAGCAAACGCGTGAGAGTGCAGTGTTTAAGACGCCTCACAATTAGAACGACCTCGGTGTACTCGCCGCGATGCTTGGTGGCCAACCGCACGGGGAAGTCGGTTCCTATGGTGCAAGCAAGCGGGTGCGAACAAGCCAACACAATTTCATAAGGGCAGCGAATCAGATGCGAACAGTCCGCGATATGGAGAAAGGCCACAATCAAGCACGAACCACGCGGTCCTGACTCGCATCACGACCTCGGTTTACTCGAAGCGATGGATGCTGGCCTTCCGCACGGAATAGTCGGTCCGCACAGAACAATACTCAGACGCGAAGTCTCGAAAGCAAAGAGAGAGAGAGAGAATAAAGTCAAGCGGGAGTCGATAAAAAAAAAATCAAGGTTCTAGTTAGAAATTTGTATCAGTAGAGTACAGGCGAATACAACTTAGCGATCAGGAGAAATGGTCTAATGGCATGCCTTACCGATGCCAATGAATTCATCAAACCTGTTGCACACAGATGTTAGAAGCAGCTCTCTACACTAAATTTATGCGCCTCAAACGAAGACGTCTTACCGATGCCATTGAATTCATCAAACCTGTTGTCTAGAGACGTTAGAAACAGCTTTCTATACTGTTTCTATGCGCCTCAAACGAAGATGTCTTACCGATGCCATTGACTTCATCAAGCCTGTTGTACAGAGACGTCAGGAGAAGCTCTCGAGTCGAGCATGCGTACGTGTGAGTGATTCCAGCTACATCGAAAGAGAATTCCTGACCGTCCGATTCCGAGCAGCGGAGGTTCGCGATCTGCTCGAAGGTGAAGTCTAGTATAGTCGGATTCCCGGGAGTTAGGGTTGATATATTAATCCCTTGCTCGGAAACCCTAAGTAGCCTAGATATGTTCCTAGTAGGCCTCGCGTGACCAGGCAGCCGGACTAGAAACACCTGGTAATCCATTATGCCTCTCGTCACAGCCGTCAGATAGCTTGTCTACGTCAGCAGGCTAAACTCGAGGTGAGTCATTAGGAAAAGCGTCGGAAACTATACTCTATGCGAGCCATCTAAAACATGACCGGCGGAAGCGACGGAGTTCGGAACGACGGAGGACGAGAAGACAGGCTCGGATGAGCCTGATGATCCTGAGGGGATGAGCGAGGAATTCCACGGTGGGTCGCTGGGCTGGTTCTGTGAGTGAGCTGAATCTGCGAGCTTTGGGCACTCGAAGTTGAATCTGCGAAATAGTTGAATCTGAGGGAAATCTTGACCCTAGTCAGATGGCTGTGCTGGTGGCTTGCAACCTGCACCACAGGTCGCTTGTACCGGTTACCACTTCGGGACCAGCGGGAATGCCGACGATCCGTTCCCGCGCTTATTCTCTCGCTATCTTCACCCTCTCATTTGCTGTGCCACCCCGGGACGGCGCAGCCTCAGAAGTTGTCCCACCTGTCAAATGCTGCAGGGGGAGGGTGTCAGACGAAGTTCAATAATGATAGCCTCGATTCTACATAAGAGACCCACAGAAGTCAAACTCTCTACCATAACTCTATTCACATCGTTATACTTCAACCTCATGCAACAGCAAACGGAAGCACAATAGCACAAAACCCATACAAACCATTAAAATTTTTCCCTCCTAATTTTTTAGCATTTAATTCAGGCACACAACATTGCACGCCTTCTAAGTATCGGTACGAGTACCTAATATAACCGGACCTCTAGCATGTTGAATCAGCACATTTGTTTTTTTTGGGAAAATTAGAAATAATGTCTCAAAAATTATCCTTTGCTCTATGAGGGCATACAAATTTAATTCAAATTGGAAAAAAACACATAGTATGTGCACACAATTGCTTATGGACGAACCTTTTGTTGAAGTATGCTCTACAGAGTTACTACCGTAATCTCCCGCATAGTGCACCCCCCAAAATTGAACACTCACCGGGTGTTTAATTCCAGTGGGTGTTATCCCAGATTCCCCACCTAGAACACCCGGCAAATCGATTTTTGAAAAATTCATAACACCCTCAATCTTTTTTCAAGTCGACATGATAGAAACATAAGCATTTGCATTCGGGTCACCCAACATCGCGCATGAATCCTAGCGCAATCTAGGGTGACAAATATGATTCTAGCCAACTATACAGTCAAGAGATGTCAACGCATGGGGAAAGCGTAGTGTGCTGTGCTGTTCTCCACGACCAATACAGTTGTTGAAAATATTCTGCAATTCGCGGCGCTATGATTGTACCGTACTCGTTTCGGAGCCTGAACCGAGACATAGCAATTGTGCTCTTCTGGTGATTACTGATCTCCACTCTTATTATCTGTAAAAACCATCTCATGACACCCTTGGGTGTAATTTTGTTAACGATAATAAAAATAATACCCATCAAACGTATGGTATTTATAATACACCCTAGGGTGCCTTATACGGGGGATTACGGTACGTATGCATTCCTGATATCATATTTAGACTGTACTAGTAGTGCGATACCTCATATGGAAGGACGCACGTAATGACGTTAGCAGTACCGAGTCAACGCGTGAACTGTAGGTTCTCGCGAATAGTCACTCGAAGGGTTACGCCACTCTCAATCACGCGAACATTCACTAGTCATGTCACGCGAATAGTTGCGATACACTACGAACAGGTACATTCCGAATAGGTACTTCCTAGACTATAAATATGATGTATTTCTAATTATTATTAAGCATTGTCATTTCGGAACAAGGGATATATTTTGTATATGTTATAGGCTAGATAGATGCATGCTCATATCGAGCACAACACCTTGTACCCCATCATTCTAGTCAACTTTTTAATCTGAGATGGTATCACGCTAGGTTAGGATCCCGCTCACCTGCGCTTCCGCCCTCGTCCTAGCCCTAGCCCAAGCCGCCCGTCACTAGCCGCTGCTAGCCGCCCGTCGCTCGTAGCAGCCAGCTGTGTGAGAGTACGACCCCGTTACACCACTTGGCCTTTACTTATTTCTTTCCTCTTTCATTTCTCTTTTTATCCCATCTCATTTGGTTTTCTATTCTCCATTTTCCATTAACCTTTGGTTGATCTTGCTATTATCATTATATCACCGACCAGGCTTGGGATGTACTGGTGCGCTATATTTAGCGTAATCCTACCGTAATCCCTTAAAGCCAATAGCCTCGCGTGGCTATACGCAGGGTGATTCTATATTCTAGAAGGGTCTATTCCCTTTGGATAGGATAAACCTGGTTACCTGATGTACTCTGGAAGTATAAAAGCGCCTTGTACTGATCGGTAGTGCAATCTTTCCTCGAGTCATTCGATCCTGTCACACTTGGTATCAGAGCTTTTTCTCACTCGGCCGCGCTCAACAAAGCAGCAGCAGCGGGAAAACCTGCCTCGAAAAACCGCCGAGGGCGACCGATTCGACGCCGATTCTGGTAAGCACCAGCTCCGCGTTTTGTGAATTACCCCCCCCCCCCCCCCCGCGTGTTTTGAACAGGATGGCAACCTTCGACAATGCCGAGGTTACCCAACAGCTCTTCGCGCGCATCGCAGCCCTTCAGGAGGAGATGCGAGCGGATTGCGAAGCGTGGCGAAACGAGTTCGAGCGAGTAACTCGACTCGCCGGAGCGTAGCACGACTCGACAACGGCGACGACGCAGCAGTCGCAGCAGTTTCTCGAGGCTCCGAAACCGCGGCCACCTGAGCTATTCGATCCGAGCGATCGAAACTCCGACGCCCGCAGATAGATCGCCGAGATGGAGATCTACTTCGCAGCCGTCGGATGGAGCTCGCCAATCTGGGACGGTCAACGCGTACGACTCGCAGCGACACTGATGCGAGGGCCGGCACTCGAGTGGATTGGCGGCAACAACACGTTCATCCACGGTGAAGCCACGTGGCAGTAGTTCCGCGCCGACCTGCTGAAACGCTTCGAGCCGATAAATTCGAGTTTCCTTGCCCGGGAAAAAATTCATCGACATCGACAGTTCGGGAGTGTAGCGCAGTACACGCAACAAATGGAAGAATTTTATAACCGAATTCCCGATCTGACCGAAGGGGAAAAAGTACAGTCGTACCTCGCCGGGCTGAAGACCGAAGTCAAACGACAGGTAGCGGCATCAAACTACGCGAACTACAGTGACGTCGTTTCGGCAGCGGAGCGCTTCGACATGGTCAACGCCGGGACACGACAGACGCACGTCGGCAGTACGCGACAGGGCGACCGCTCGGCTCACACCACGTTCGCCGACCCGATGGAAGTCGACAGGTTCGAAGGGCGGCCACGTCCGAAAAACACCAACTACACGTGTGATTTTTGCGGGGTGCCGGGCCACCGAATCTTCGACTGCAACAAAATGAAAGCCGCACGCGTAGAGTATCGGGCACGCAACAGTGGCGGAATTCCTTCGGCCAATCATAAGACAAAAAACGGGAGTCGCCAGTGATTGCGGATCTAGCTGGCGAAAATAAAAAGATGTGAAAGCGACCGCGGGATTCCGGGAAAATCAACTTCGACGCGAGAAGGAGGAAATGATGGGGGAAAATCGCCGGGGAAAAATACGACTCTGCGAAAAAAGACTCTGCCGAGACGAGGAAACTCCTTGAATACCCAAGAAATTATAAGGATTCGTTAAAGCTATCCTATAAAGATGCTTTAATGAAAACTTATGATTCTCGAGGGGCTAGAGCCTTGGAGAAAATTCGTGAAGGACTCCAGAAGAAGCAGAAAACTGTCGAGATTATACCGGTATTGGACAACTAGGGGAAAAAATCAAGGAGTGTGGAAAGAAGCTAACCTTTCCACGGAGTCAACGTCCTCTCCCGACACCAGCCCACAACAACCACCCGTTCCCCAGGGAAGACGTCGATGGGGCTGAAGCAGCTCAAGAGGAAGCTGGGGGTCTACAAAAAGCTGCAAACACCCCGAACTCCTCCTCCGGATGCATCCAGTTCTTCGGCGTCAATGACGCGCACAATCGTCAAGGAAACTCTGGGCCCTGGAGAAGAGCCGTTCTCCAAGCAGCCTCGGCCAGCTGCCAGCTCAGGAGTAGATAGCAACATAAAGGTGTGTATGGAATATTGGGATGTACCCTATGACCCAATCAATGAAACTATCTTTGGGTACTCCGAGCAACGCCTGCCCCTCGTGCTCGAGGTCATCTGCAAAGGACGACGCCTCCAAGCACTCGTGGACAGCGGAGCATCGCACACCGTCAGCGACAAGGCAGTAATCGACCGACTTCGAGAAGAGTACAAGCCTTCAATATTCTCTGCAACGATGGTGGATGGCAGCAAGTAACCAGTACACGGCGAAGCAGTGCTACACCTACAAATCGGACCACTGCGCTGGAGACCTGCACTCCCCATCACCATCAAAGGGCTTGACTTGATCTTCGGGCGAGACTTCCTAAAAAAATTCAACCCCGAGATCAACTGGGTGAACCGCACCGCAAGCATCTACAACAATGGACGGAGAGTACAGCTACCCAACTGGGACGATACAGGAGATATCCTGGTGGAGACACTCGCACGATTCAAGAAGGACGTGAAGCGAACCGACACCGGGTTCCTGGCGATAGCAACAGAGGTGGAGAACGACGGAGAGAAGACCTCGGAACCTCCGGGAAAGATCAAGGAATTATTGAAGGAGTTCCAAGAATTCTTCCTGACGATCTTCCGAACGAGCTACCGCCATACCGAACGCATCAGCACGAGATCGTGGAGGAACCGGGTTCGAAGCCGACCTTCTGAGCACCATATCGGCTCAGCCCTACGGAGCGGACCGACATGAAAAAACAGATCGAGTATCTCCTAGCCAAAGGACTCATTCGACCATCTACTTCGCCATACGGTGCCCCAGTGCTCTTCACACCGAAACCGGACGGAAGCCTGCGCATGTGCATCGACTACCGAGCTCTTAACAAGCAGACCATCAAGAACAAATACCCAATCCCACGAATCGATGACCTGCTTGACCAGCTTCGGGGAGCTACGGTATTTTCCAAATTGGATCTGCGGTCCGGATACTGGCAGATATGGATGGCAGACAACTCTATCCACAAAACTGCTTTCCGAACTCGGTATGGATCGTACGAGTATCTGGTAATGCCGTTCGGACTCACCAACGCACCTGCAACATTCCAAGCTAAAATGAACCATATTCTACGACCACTTTTAGACGAGTGCGTGGTGGTGTACCTGGACGACATCCTCATCTACTCGCG